AAGAAGAAAAAAAGGTAACTGTATGAGATAATGGTTATGTTGATTTGCCTAACTGTGGTGATCATTTCACTATAAGTATTCTGAGATGAGCATATCAAAACATCATGTTGTATATCTTAAATATATACAGTAAAATAAAAGGAAAAAATTGTAATACCTCCATAGTACTCACGATGATAAAAGGTGCTGTGAAGAGCATTCTCATTCATAAATCTTGGTGCATGTCTCTGGTCCTTAGGGTATGTTCCCAGAGGTGGAATTACGCCTCTCAACCTGTGTCTTTGTAAGGCCGAGTTGCACCACCATCCCCCACCCCAGATGCTGCGGGTTTCTCCCGCCCCTTCCTCTGCACAGAAGTGCCCGTCTTCCTGGGTTCGTGCTAACACTGAGTGCCCTACTTTTTTGAATCTATAAATCTCTAAGTGAAAAAAAAAACGTGTTTTAATGGTCAGTAATTGTGTTTATTGGCCGTCTGTTTATTTTATTAAGGCGTGTTTTGTGTTGCTTGCAAGATACTACTCTTTTGTCTGTCATGTGTTAGAAACATCATCTTCTTTCCGGTTTGTCATTTGTCTTTTAATACTGTAAGTGGTTTCTTTTGATGTATTTTTTTTTAAAGTTAAAAATCTTACCAATCTATCAATCTTTTCTCTGGCTGTTTCTGCTTTTGTTTCTGTGTTTATAAAGGCCATACTCCAAGAACAAACATCAGTTCATCTTTTTTTTCTCATGCCTTTATGATTTTTTTTGCATCTAAAATGTTAATTCATCTAAGATTTATCTCAATATAGTATGTGTCTCATCTTTTTTGATCTCACGATGTGTATAGTTGTTTCACCAACACATACCAAGTAGTTCATCCTTTCCTCACTAGTTCAAAATATGACCTGTATCAATTGTTAAAATCTCATGTATTCTTTAATCTATTTTCTGTTTAGTTTCATTAATCTGTCTGTTCTTGTACCAGCACCGAACCATTGTATTTTTATATCTAATAGCACAAATATTGTCATTATTTTTCCTTTTCAAAGTGTTCTTGGCAATTTTCACCAATTTATTTTTCTAAATCGGGGTCAGTAAAGTAGTTTGAGGCTTTGCAGGCCCTAACAGTTTGTCATTAGTGCTCTCCTCTGCCCTTGCAGTGCGGAGCAGCCATAGACAGTGAGAAATGAGGGTGTATTCTAATTAAACTTTGTTTACAAAACAGGCTGTGGGTTGATTTGTCCTGAGGGCTATGGTTTGCCAATTTCTGTTCTTGATGAGTTTTTGAATTATTTTGTCCATTCTTACCACCCTCACAAACACATAAAAAGTACGTATAAATACACATACACACACACTGTTTTCGAGTGTGTGTGTGTGTGTGTATTTTAAGGAATTTGGTTAAAATGACATACTTCCAAAATGGTTTGGAAGAAACATGGTCTCTTTATAACAAGGTCTTCCCATTAGGCAGCATTAAGCATTATTTTATGTTGATCTTCAGTGTTCTATGGTTTCCTTCATACAGGTTTTGCAAATTTCTGGTTAACTAAACTAACTTTCTTTCTTCCTTTCCTTTCCTTTTTCCTTTTTCCTTTTTCCTTTTTCCTTTTTCCTTTTTCCTTTTTCCTTTCCTTTCCTTTCCTTTCCTTTCCTTTCCTTTCCTTTCCTTTCCTTTCCTTTCTTTCTTTTCTGTCTTCTCTTTCTTCTCTCTCTCTCTCTCTCTCTCTCTCTCTCTCTCTCTGTCTTTCTGTCTGTCTTTCTCTTTCTTTCTCTCTTTCTTGAGGGAGTCTCACTCTGTTGCCCAGGTTGGAGTGCAGTGGCACAATCTTGTCCCACTGCAACCTCCACCTCCTGGGCTCAAGCGATTCTCCTGCCTTTGTCTCCCGAGTAGCTGGGATTACAGGTGTAAGCCACGACGCCCAGCTAATTTTTGTATTTTTAGTAGAGACAGGGTTTCACCATGTTGGCCAGGCCGATCTCAAACTCCTGACCTCAAGTAATCTGCCCACTTCAGCCTCCCAAAGTGCTGGGATTGCAGGCATGAGCCATCGCCCCTGGCCTCTGGTTAACTTTAAAACTTTAACCCTTGCAGTGTTTTTCATTCTAGTTGCCACTGTGAATGGAGAGGGGCGTCCCATGACTCCCTGCCCGTTCTGTGAATTGCTAGAAGGATGGCAGGACTCAGGGGTACAGTTGACAGCCCATCAGCAAGGGAAGGGGAGACATGGGGTGGGTAGGGGTGGCTAGAAGAGTCCATCCAAGGGCTCCCACCCAGAATGTGCTCCAGCCTCCAGCCTGAAACGCAGCAGCCCATGATTCTGCATAGATTGTGTCTCCAGTTCTAGCTTTCATTTTACTTCTATTTAGTTTTCTTTCAGTGTGTACATTGGGAGAATGTGATGAAAGCCAGGGACAGCAGGCTCTGCACTCACTGCGGGCCCTGATCGCTATTACAGCTCTGGAATTAAGTCCCTTAGGTTAAAGCTTGGGAGACAGCCTGCTGAATCATCAGGATTTATCTCACTCAGCTCATTCAAATAAAAGAAACCTCTGGCCGCGGACGGTGGCTCACGCCTGTAATCCCGGCACTTTGGGAGGCCAAGGCAGGTAGATCACCTGAGATCAGGAGTTCGAGACCAGCCTGGCCAACATGGTGAAACCTCATCTCTACTAAAAAACAAATTAGCTGGGCATGGTGGTATGCACCTGTAATCCTAGCTACTTGGGAGGCTGAGGCAGGAGAATCGCTTGAACCAGGGAGGTAGAGGTTGCAGAGAGCTGAGATCGTACCACTGCACCCCAGCCTGGGCGACAGAGTAAGATTCTGTCTCAAAACAAAACAAACAAAAGAAACCTCTTAACTGAAGCATGAAGGTGAAAATCTTGGCGAGCTTCCTTATTAAGAGTGGAGAAATTCAAGCTGTCCTTAAGACAGGCCTACCTTTACCTGTTGGTGGAGACTGGTTCTCTTCGTAGTGTGACCCGCTTTATCAAAAAGGCTAAAGGAAATAAAGCCTTCTGCAGCTGGGGTTCCCTCCACCTTTGTTAGTCAGGGAGCCTGCCGCCCCTGCTCCATGGTGATTCCGTGGCCCTCTTCAGCCCTCTGCCCTGAGGGCCTTCTCTCAATTATCTATTTTATATTTTCCGGGTCTCCAGCCTCCTAGAGGCCAAGGGGCAGCTAGAATTTTAACTGTTTCTTAACCTAGGATTCTTCCAACAAATGGCAAGGACTGGCATTCTGAGAGTGAGACACTTAAAATGTGAACAGTACTGAGTTAATGAACTTAAGTTCTAACTGCGATGTAAGTGACTTGCATAGAGCTTCCTTTGCAAACTCTTCTGATACAGGGTGGGTGCCCAGGAATAAAGCCGAGAGAGTCAGGGCTCTGAGCAGATCTCAGATGAGGTCCTGGACCCCGAGGTGGAGGTGCAGAGGGGAGGGAGGTGGGTGTCGGGGACAATCTCTTTCCTTTTGCAGACTTGCCTTATAGGTCTGGAGCCAGCAGAGCTCTGCTTCCCACCTGCTTCCTCCCAGCTTTCCTCAGGATTAACTTAATCCTTGCAGATTAAGAGGCTACAAATACGTTCATTTTCCTCTAGGAGGCTTCTCACTCCTCATTTCTTTCTGCCTTCACACTTTCCCTTTGCAGGAGCTGACGTATCTCCCAGTTCGTCTGTTGCAGACACCCCTAGGCCCCTTTACTCATACTTCTGTTTGTATTTTCAGATGTATTTGCAATTTCTTGCCTGGAGTCTATAATGTAAAACTAGGCAGGGCTCCCAGGCACTGAAGGACACAGCCAAGGCCTTCATTTCACTTAGCAGTAAGTTATGAGCTTTGTAAGATCTTTAAGATGGAGGTTTAGCCATGAATTGGAGTGGGTTTTCTGAGAATTTCACAACCTAGTTAGGTTTTCTCTGTAAACAAGGGCCGCCTTTCTTCTTCCTTCACAGCACTTTTTATCTGGCCACTCAGGAAACACCAGTTATTTATTTGTTTATTTATTTATGTATTTATTTATTTATTTTTGAGGCAAGGTCTTGCTCTGTTGCCCAGGCTTAAAGTACAGGGCTGTATAGGCCTGATCATAGCTCATTGCAGCCTCGAACTCCTGAGCTCAAACAATCTTCCCGCCTCAGTCGCCCTAGTAGCTGAGACTACAGGCACACGACTGCACACCCAGCTAAGTTTTTAAAAATTATTTTTTGCGTGGTCGGGCGCAGTGGCTCATGCCTGTAATCCTAGCACTTTGGGAGGCCAAGGCGGGCAGATCACGAGGTCCGGAGATCGAGACCATCCTGGCTAACACAGTGAAACCCTGTCTCTACTAAAAATACAAAAAATTAGCTGGGCGTGGTGGTGGGCACCTGTAGTCCCAGCTACTTGGGAGGCTGAGGCAGGAGAAAGGCGTGAACCCGGGAGGCGGAGCTTGCAATGAGCTGAGATCTCGCTGCTGCACTCCAGCCTGGGAGACAGAGCGACTCCATCTGAAAATTTAAAAAAAAAATCTTTTTTGTGGCGACAAGGTAAACTCCTGGCCCCAAATGATCCTCCCACCTTGGCATCCCAAAGCATTGGGATTATAGGCATGAGCCACTGCACCTGGCCAGGAAACACCAATTAATTCTCATATTAGCCCAAACAAAACATGATTTGGAAAGTGAACCAGCTCCAGAAATATGAGTTATCTATTCCCAAGCTTCCTGCCTTTCTCCTCCTCTTCTTGCCTTCTCTGCACTGTTAAAATTATCCCAGCCACTCTCCTCTGTCATTAAACTGAAAACTTAAGGAATACCCCAAATACAATAATTAGGATTTTAAGAATCTTAAGATTCAAAGACCTTCTCCAACTTCTCCAACTGCATTTACACATTGACTCTAAGTTGTTTCTTGATTCTGGCGGGAAACAGCCTCCGTCCAGTGTGTGTGTCCCCACCCGTGGCAGTGATGTTCGCTAATGCTGGCTGTCACATGTGAGCCCTTGGTCACAGAATGTCACTTGGATCTATTTCAGAGTTCCCTAAAAAGAAGAAGCACTCGGGAAATGTACAAGGAGAAGAAAACCTTTAACCAGGTAAGCAGAGGTTTTCATTCTAATGTTACATCTCCTGTAAGTGAAGTCACCTCATTTTGAATTTTTTTCAGTGTTAGTTTTGCCTTTAAAACATTCAAAGAAACATTACCTGTCCAAACATGTGGACTCATTCCTGTCCTCCACAGTGTGAACATTTTCTTTGCAAACCCACAGATCCTCCCTCTTGTTTCTCCCCCATGCTGACAAGCTGGTGATTTCTTCAGGAAAAAGAACTGGCTTTGTGTGAAACAGAATTAAGTGTGGTTTGGGGGCCTGAGGTACTTATACATGGTAAAAAGTGTTTTGACCTTCAAAGTCATCCACGCAGTAAAATAAAACAGCCACTGTGGAGTTGAGTCATTCATAAGACACTGTTTTGAATGTTGTTGTTGTTTTTTAATGTGCAAGCTGAACAATATCTTAAATGGTCTTCATTGAAGGTAAACTATTCTCAGCCCTTTCTAGATGCACAGTATGCATTCTTCAAAACTTTCTTAGCTTTTCTGTAAAGCTGTTTTACTGGATTCTGTTTTTAAATTGCTGCTAGCATTAGGTGGTGGAGAGAACAAAGGTGTTATTGGGGTATCAGCTCACTGCACTCTGAGAGCAAGTGGTAATTAGAGAGACACAATGAGTCGGGGTAACTAAGAGCTCAGCAACCTCCACCGACCTCCTGCCGCCCTGTCCCTGTGAACTCCCCTCTTAAGGATCCCCTGGGTTTCTCCATTCTCCAAACTCACTAATCCCCAGGGCATCATTCAAGGAGGGGCAGACCCCTGCAGCAGCAGAACACGGAAGCTCAACTGTTCCCTTCCACCCTCCCCAGCCTCCCAGTCTCACTTTGGAATCCATTAATAATAGGGAAATTAAAGTCTGCCTCCCACTGCTGGGTACTTACACTCTCCTGGGCTGAGAGTGTTTTCAATCGACTGGCTCTTGCCCAGGGAAGATCTTTTCCTTAAAAGGGGAAATTCTGCCCCATTGTGAAATGAACAGCATTCGCCCCGTGGGTAAAACGGGCCAAGAACAGGAGCTGCTGCTCCTTGGGCGCGTGTCAGATAACCCTGGTAGCTGGGATGCGTTGAACGCCCGCCCAGCCGGCGGGATTATTGAGGAAGGAGTTTCTGTTCAGCAGAATGGTGGAATGGAGCGCGCTGGGAACTGCAGGCCCGCAACCAAAACCCAAAGGAAGCTGGCGCCCCGGCGCAAGGTAGGCACGCGGGCAGTCACCCGCTCGGGGTGCTGGCTGGACGGCTGACTTGCAAGCCAAAGAATATATACAGAGAGCGATATATTTCTGTGGCTTGACAAGGCCTTTCCCGCTGGTGGTGATGGTGGTGGGCCCCTGGGTGTCTCCCCTCCTGGCCATGCCTGCCCTCTGCCTGCAACAGGAATCGTGTGTCATATGGAAAGTTGGACTTGACCTGCTTTCATACCACATTCCTGGGGTTATCCAATGATCTCTTGAAACCAGAAATGATATCCTTCAGTTTAGACTCGGCCTTGCTCCCCGCCCCCACCGCCCCGCGAGAGTCTTGGCAGAGTTTTAAGAAGTCTATGGTTACAACATAAGATGGGCATCCAGCCTCCCGCTGCCTGAGCTGAAGCTGTGATTCCCCATCTTATGAGGAGTGGCTTCCCCTACTCAGAACAGGCCGAGCTCAGCTTCCCTCAGGCCGCCCCTCTCCTGCACACAACACCCCGCAGGTGCAGCGGGCCTTGCCCTAGCTGCCTCGACCTCACCGAGGACGTGTGACTTCATTTAATACACACACTCCCATGGCTTCCAGGACAGTCTTTCTCTCAACGCTGCTTTAGTCTTGGTGGCAGGCCTCATAGTGCATGCATGGTTGTCAAGTGGAAATGACAGCATGCTGTCATACTGACAGCTTTTTTCTTTAAGGAATGAGAAGACGTTTTGGACATTTTATCAATCCTCAGGTAATCTACACATTGACACTCGTTAGAGTATGTCATAGGATCTTGCTGCTTTAACTGACCTGGGTTTAGGTTCAAGGAGACGGAAGAGAATTGTTCTATGATCGATTTGTAGTGGATGGTAGACAGAGGGGAATGGAGTGAGGTTGAAGGTTTCTGGAAATCAAGGTGATTTGAGGGCTCTATGGGGACCTTCTGCCTGCATGAGGGGTACAGATAAGCATGTGTAACCTCCAGCGTGTTTCAGGACCCTTCTCAGAGATGATCCTCCTCCCCCAGTGTTTCAGTTCAGCTTGTTGGGGAAGACCCCAAGGAGCTGGTCACAGCTATTTCCCTGAGCCTTTCCTGTCATATCATTTTTCCCCTTACACGGGGTTTGTGGTGAGCAAGGAGGGACCAGGCAGAGTGGGATTGCCTCAGTCCCTGGTCCACGCGCTCGTTTGAGCCAAAAGCTTCCCGTACCATGCAGGCAACAGTGCCCCTCGCCCGCCCCTCCTGGCCTGGCTCCACCACATCAAGGCCTTGCCAGCTGCAAGTTTCTGTGGACGCTGGTCACAGCAGGCGGCCCTGCCCCCACCTTGTCCAGCCCAGTCTCGAGTCCCAGGCTCAAGAAGGGTAGAGAGTGGGGCCGAGTTTCCCTGTAGCTGGACAGCGCTGCCCTCTGTGATCTCTGCCGCTGTGGATTTCTCTGCTTCAGAGGTGGAGATGGGATCATTTAGATGATTTTTGACAATGGACGGACACTGGCTCTCAAATTAACAATGGGGCTGAGGGTACTCCTCTGTTTTCTGGTCCTAAGCTTTTAAGTATTTACAATCCATCTCCGTTGATAGGTATTTTAGCTTAAACTGCATTCCTTCATGGGAACAACAAAGACCTGTCTGTATATTTGAATTTCTTACAAATCTGTGTTTAACAAAAATTGAAAAGGTGCTTTTTTGTTTGCTCTACTTTCGAAAGTTCTAAGAAGCTGGGGTTGTTTAAAAGTAACTTGCCAACTTCTCGTACATAGTAGGTACTTAATACTTCCTGAAAGAATGAATGAACAAGACCAGGCTTGGTGGCTCACACCTGTAATCTCACACTTTGGGAGGCTGAGGTGCTGGATCACCTGAGGTCAGGAGTTCAACACCAGCCTGGCCAACATAGCAAAACCTCATCTCTACTAAAAGTACAAAAATTATCTGGGCGTGGTGGCATGCTCCTGTAGTCCCAGCTACTTGGGAGCAGAGGCAGGGGGCAGGAGAATTGCTTGAACCTGGGAGGCGGCAGTTACAGTGAGCCAGGATTGCACCATTGCACTCCAGACTAGGTGACCAGAGCAAGACTCCATCTCAAAATAAAATAATAATAATAAAAAAGAATGAATGAACAGATAAACAAGCATGCTTTTCCTCTAGTATTAGTATTAAATAACAATGTATGTCTTTTACAGTCCATGTATTCTGTGTAGGTTCTTTCAAAAAATATGTCGTTACCCCAGTGGCGATGATAGCCCATTTGCCTCAGTAGTTGTGAGTAGGGCACACAGTCTTACTTCAGGTTAGTCACAGGATTGATTTTTATGTCTGCCTAACCCAAACCCAACCAAATCCTTCATGTGATAAGCTCTCAGGACTCAAAGACCATGTGACATTTATATGTTATTCTCCTAATGTGCAGAGAAGGAAAAAACTCTTTACTGGCTCCTTTACCCAATACTAATTGTGTTTCAGACAAATAAGAAAATTAATTTCAGGGAGCTAGAGCATGGTGATTTATCATATACAAACCAGTTTATATATAAAAAATACACTTTTTAGGTTTATGATTTATCATATACAGACCATTATTTCATTTGACCCTCATCACAACCTTGTGGGTCTGTGATTAGCCCAGGCCCCTTGGACAGTAGGAGGGGCAAAGCTAGGACTCCGGGCAGCGTGTTTGACCCCAAGTCCAGCAGGCCTGGTTTTGTCCTCAGCTAAGAGATGACAATGGGCATGTCATCCTTCCGAGGACGCACAGATAGCGCCAGGGCAAGCTTTCCCTGTGGCAGTGGCTGCACACTTGGTCGTAGGTGTGGGCCTGAGCCTTCCTGGTCATACCGTTTTTTCCCTTTCCATGGGGTTCGTGGTGAGCAAGGAGGGCCCAGGCAGAGTGGAAGGAGGAAAGTTGGGAGGTGCCGAGGGAGGCATTTCTCTTTCTTCCAAATTGTGAGTGTGCGACCAGACTGCGGCAGAGAACGAGCCATGCTCTCTGAGTGTAGAAGCTGCATTGTGAGCACACGTGACGATCTGAAGGGGTTAATTCTCCCCCGGGGGCTGACTTGTTCCAGAGAAGGGCGACAGGCCTGGAGAGCAGTTTGATGCCTTTTCCTCTGCGAGGGCTGTGGGATTTGACTCCTGTAGAGCCATTGTTGACAGTTCCTCTGTGTGATGGGGGAAACCTTTGCTGAAGCCCTTTTGGAACTTTTGATGGCCGATCAAAGAGGAGTGATTTGTGAAATCGGTTATTTTCCCATCTGCTGGATGTGAATAGTAAAACGTTTTTGCAAAACCAAAATGGGGAGTTCATCTGGCTTCAAAACAAGGAGACCAGCCCTGCAAAGCAGAGTTGATTTTCCAGTGGATCCAAAAAGTGCCGTTCTGACCTCAGCCAAGCATTGCAGGCTGTGAACAGCAGAGTCAGCTTTGAGGATCCTCCAGAACCCTCTGGAAGGCCTATGAGGACACTTCTCAGGTTTTGATACACTTGACTATCCAACATTTAACTCCTTGCCTTGGGTCTCCGAGTTTAATTTCCTGCTGTGTTACAGCAACTAAAGGGAAAGGAACATAAGCAAAGGCTCTGAAGTTGCACTTGCGTGGCGAGAGGCTGCAAGGAGCCCAGGTGGCTGGGTATGCAGTACCCGGGGCTCGGTACTGACTCAGTACGCGCCTGGACTTCCAAGCACCCTCATGCTTATGCCTCATTTTTTTGGTCATATCATTCTTGTGGGACATTAGGGCTGGGGAGACCGGGATGGGGAGAAGCGAATTGCCCTGTCTCAGGTACCTTAGGAAACCAGGGGAAAGCTGAGCTCTTATTTGGGGTGGCCTGACTTCCCCATCCTGGTCAGACCTCGTGGATTGCCAGGCACTTTGAAAGAAGGAGGTCTGCACGTTGGAGGTGGTGAGTGCAGCAGGGTGGAAGATGCTCTGAACCCTGTCTGCCTGCACCAGGCCTTGGTGAGGGGTCCTGCTGTCTCTCACTGGTGCTGGTGAGTAACCAGGTGGGATCCACAGAGCAATGAGGGGTTGCGCATTCCCGCTGGGTTTTGCGCCTCATTTCATTTTCCCTTCTTCGCTCATAACTTGTATGATGATTTCCACGTGCACTTTTTTTTCCAAACTAATTTTTTTTGTTTCTTTTGTTTCTGTGGCAAAGCAACAAACTGTAGGCCTTTCACAGGCCCCCTCCACAAAGCCCCCAGGCCCACCTCTGCTTCGTCTTGGCTCTTTCTCTGTGTAACTCACCGGCACCGACGGGAAGATCGGTGTTTGATGTTTGTGTGCATTGGGGGCGAGGTGTGAGGGGAATCATGAAAAACACGAACATTTGGTATTTTCAAATAACCCTTCTCCCGGGCTGTTCTCTCCTGGCAGGATGACAGTGCCGATTTGAGGTGCCAGCTCCAGTTTGCCAAAGAGGAAGCCTTCCTGATGCGCAAAAAGATGGCCAAGCTAGGAAGGGAGAAGGACGAGCTGGAGCAGGAGCTCCAGAAGTACAAGTCCCTCTATGGGGATGTGGACAGCCCCCTGCCCACGGGGGAAGCAGGCGGGCCCCCCAGCACCCGGGAGGCCGAGCTGAAGCTGCGGCTGAAGCTGGTGGAGGAGGAAGCCAACATCTTGGGCCGGAAGATCGTGGAGCTGGAGGTGGAGAACCGTGGCCTCAAGGCAGAGATGGAGGACATGCGGGGCCAGCAGGAGCGGGAGGGCCTGGGCCGGGACCACGCACCCAGCATTCCTACCTCACCCTTCGGCGACTCCCTGGAGTCCTCCACTGAGCTCCGCCGCCACCTGCAGTTTGTGGAAGAGGAAGCGGAGCTGCTCCGGAGGTCCATCTCCGAGATCGAAGACCACAACCGGCAGCTGACCCACGAGCTCAGCAAGTTTAAGTTTGAGCCTCCCCGGGAGCCGGACTGGCTCGGGGAGGGTGCGAGTCCTGGTGCCGGGGGTGGGGCCCCCCTGCAGGAGGAGCTGAAGTCAGCCAGGCTGCAGATCAGCGAGCTCAGCGGCAAGGTGCTCAAACTGCAGCACGAGAACCATGCGCTGCTGTCCAACATCCAGCGCTGCGACCTGGCAGCGCACCTGGGGCTGCGTGCCCCCAGTCCCCGGGACAGCGATGCCGAGAGCGATGCCGGCAAGAAGGAGAGTGAAGGGGAGGAGAGCCGCCTGCCGCAGCCCAAGCGGGAAGGCCCTGTTGGCGGGGAGAGTGACTCGGAGGAGATGTTCGAGAAGACGTCGGGCTTCGGGAGCGGGAAGCCATCGGAGGCCAGCGAGCCGTGTGCCACGGAGCTCCTGAAGGCCCGGGAGGACTCCGAGTGCCTAGTGACCCTAAAACACGAGGCCCAGCGGCTAGAGCGGACGGTGGAGCACCTCATCGCGGACACCGACAGGTTCCTCCGTGACGCGGGGGTGCAGGGTGGTGCACCCTCGCCGGGGCCTGGCCTCCAGGGTGAAGAGGAGCTGGGCGAGGGGGACCAGCAGGAGCCTCACCTGCTGGGGACCATCAACGCCAAGATGAAGTCTTTCAAGAAAGAGCTTCAGGCCTTCCTGGAGCAGGTGAACCGCATTGGGGATGGCCTATCCCCCTTGCCCCACCTCACAGAGTCCTCTAGCTTCCTCTCCACTGTGACTTCCGTGTCCCGGGACTCCCCCATCGGGAACCTGGGGAAGGAGCTGGGCCCAGACTTGCAGGTAAGGGGGCTCGTGGCTTCGCCTCCCTGCTCCGCCTTGCTCTTCCTCCTTCTCGCTGGCATTGCTGCACTCGGGCTCACGCTGCTCACGGCTGCTTGGTTATGATTTCAAATCTGCATTGTACTAAAGCCTCCGGGGCAACCGGATCCTCTCTCTTGGTTGGGCTCCGTTTTTTTTTTTTTTTTTTTTTTTTTTAAGTTTTCTTGTATTGCCTTGTTTCTTTTTCCTTTTTCCTGTCTTATTTTTAACTGCGCCACGGCTCATGGTTTAGAGGCCCTCCCAGACACGAGGCTAAGCCCAGTGGAAGCGATAGGGCTCGACGCAGGCCGGCCTTGCTCCTCTCTTGGTATTTCAACCAACCAGCCACATGCTGAAGAAGCCGTGAGGAGACTAAGACAAACGCATGTCACAGTCAGGATAATTAGCAGACTCGCTACCAAGCACGTCCCTTCCTGGGTGTGTTTCAAGGGACACAGTGCAGTCCAAGGCCCTAGGCAGCCCAGGCCCCCATTCCCGCTGGAGGATCAGCCAAAGCGGGCCAGGAGCGCGGTGCTGAGAAGGATGGTTTTGGTGGAAAAGCTCTGCTGGCTCGTGCCGCCCTGCCGCCGCTGGGGAGGGCGCGGAGGGCCTCCGAGGACTGCTGTCCTAGCCTCGCCTGGGTGCATGGCCCAGCTGCCGCCCTGGACTGTGGCTTTGGCTGCTCGACCCACAAGTAAGGAAGGAAGAGCCTCGTTTTCCGTTTCCTTCACGGGTAGCGTGCTTGCGGTTGAGTTCTGGATTCACGCATCGCCATCGCATGTGCCCCGTAACCAGTGTTTTGCGCCCCCACTTTCTCTTTTTGCTTTTCGGATGTGTCCACCCGCCCTTTTGCTCATTCTCATCTTGGGTCTGTTCTCTTCACTTTCGTCCACCGCTGTCTTTAAGCTGGTGTTTCTATTTGTGCTGTTCTTTGGTCGTTTTCTCAGTCGTCTCCCTTATCCATTTTTGTTTTCTTTATCCCCTCTCCCTGCCTCCACCTTCTTGTCCTTTGTTTTTTTTTTTTTTTTTTTCTGTTTGTTTGTTTAAAATTTAAAAAAAAAACAAAAATCCCTCCCGTGCACCTAACAGTCCAGACTGAGGGAGCAGCTAGAGTGGCAGCTGGGGCCGGCCCGAGGGGACGAGCGGGAGAGCCTGCGCCTCCGAACTGCACGGGAGCTGCACCGCCGCGCAGACGGGGACGCCGGGAGCCATGGGCTGGGAGGCCAGACCTGCTTCAGTCTGGAGGTCAGCGTGGGCAAGCAATCCCCGCCCCCCTTCCTTTTTCTGTGTGGCTGGCTGCGTGACGTTTTCTGTCCCGGACAAGGCCCTGAGGGAACATGGCAGGAGGAGGTGGAACTAGGTGGAACTCACTTGGCAGCAAACCCATTGTGTGCACGGGGACAGGCAGGTGTGTGCAGGTGCATGCAGTGAACTGCTGTGCTTGTCAGACAGAGGGACAGCTCACCACAGGCGCTGTCCACCACCTGTTTCCGCAGACCGGGAGCCCCTGGAGGTAGGCCGATTGTTGAGCGCGCGGTGGCTTCTTGTGCAGTTGCAGAGAACAGGGATGAAAACTCAGCCCGGGCTTCCCTGCTCTGGAGGCAACTCGCCTTAGGGCTCCCCTTTTTCAGCTGTTGCCTGTGTCTCGTGTGACCATCCCACGGTCTCGAGTGATACTGCCAGCCGGTTGGTAGAATCAGGGAGGCTCACTCCTGACCTGTGGGCACCCTTAGCAGGCTCTTTCACCACAGTAACCCGGTGTACACAAGGCTGAAGCCACCACAGGGACCATGGTTGGAACTGCTGTCAGAAGCCTGGGAAAGTGAAAGCTCTTAGACGCAGGCCACCCCACCCGGGAGAGAAAGAGGGGGTTCCCAAGGAGCTGTTGAATAAGGAAGCACCTTTAAAAGTCCAGATGCTGTGTCAGTGTAAAGTATGATTAGTAATAGAGAGAGAATGCAATGTCCTGCCATTGGGGACTTACAAGGGGGGAAGTGTGTCATAGCTCCCCTAGTCAGGGGCTAGTTTTCCCTTCCCACTGTAGCTCTTCCTTCTTTGCCATGGGCTGTTTCTGGAACCACAGCTCCGGCTACACAGGGCGGCCCCTTTCCCTTTGATGGTTGGTTTTACAGGAACTGCATCTCCCTTTCCAAGTGTTCTGCCCTTCAAGGTGTGTCACACATAGCTGTGTGCAGTTACAGCCTGTGTTAGACAGCGCTCCTCCCGGATTCTTCCTAGGTCCTTATTGTGTAACCTGGAGCAGTGATAAGTTGTCACCATTGTGAATGCATAGCATAGCTTCAGAAACTGGGAGTGATTTGGGAGAGAGAAGCATACTGAGTTGAAGCAAACCAAATACTGAGGGACAATAAAGCTTCGCAAGAAGTAGATTAGCAGAGTGAGCTGGTGCCACGGGGCAGCACAGGATCTCCAAACAGTGCAGCTCAGAAGGGAACAGCAAGTCTACAGATGAAGGCTCTCATTCTGCGGATGAGAAAAAGGAAGCCCGAGAAGTGAAGCGGCTTGCCAGTAAACTCTCCTCCTGGTTGGTGGCAGAACTGGGTCTAGAACAGCCTTCAGCCAGCTGCAGCCCCCACTCCCCAGCACATCCCCGCAGGGGCCTGATCTGTAGCGGTGGGAGAGCCCTGCACTGACCCCTGGGTGCGTTTCTAAAGAGTCACTCTAACGACTAATTGTACGGCCGCAGTCTTGCCATGGAATGGCACCTTTTTTAAACATCCATCTAGCTTCCTTTAATTTTGTATATTTTAACAAGAAAGCTTAAAATCTCCATAGTGAAAGGCCAGATCTAGGGAGCATCATTTCCTAGAAGGGGAAGCAGTATGAATCAGGAGTTTTAAACAAACATCCCTCGTTCTGATGTTTTTTATTCACAAAGACATTTCACACAGGAGAGAAAACTCAATTATGCTGCAAACACATCCTATTTTATTTTATTTTATTTTATTTTATTTTTTAATAAGGCATGTTCTGGAGCCACTTGAAATCTCCACAGTGTTTCCTTTTATTAGAGGAGCTGGATATGGATCTGTCGCAGAGCCTGGGTTGGGAGAGGCAGCCCCGTCCCTGGTGTGAATGTCACTCTGACAGCCTTGTTAGTTTGGTCTTTGAATATGACATTGTGTTAAAGAATTGTACAATGGATAATTCTGGGGAGCAGAACTCTTAAAAGCCTTTTAATGAGAACATCCCTGAATTTGCTGCCAACAATTGCTTTCCCATGAGGCTCTAATGGAAACAGTACACAAAGCTCCCGTAAGTCAACCCAGCAGCCCAGCCGGAGACTCCTGCACACCCGGCTGGAGTAACTGAGGGAAACACAGCACCGACACCTTCACGCAGACTTGAGGCAGGGCTGGAGCTCCAGGTCCCGCCGGTAGCTCTCTTCGCTCCCTTCTACGTTTCCCTTGAAATAACCACCAATGTTGCCCTCAGGCCAGCCACGACTGTGCCAGTGTGGATCCCCTTTAGCTCTCTGCCCGTAGTTCCTCGGGGGTGTGGGAGGGGCCCCAATAGCACACCTAGTATCAGGGCATCAAAGAAGAAACTTTCCATATTTGAGCAGAAGTTTTTTAAGAGGATTCATGTCTCAAGCTGCACTTACAAAACGCCTCTGTGTCTTTTGCCTTATGGATTTTTATATTTGGGGAAAGGGGAAAGAGGGTAAGTTATTATTTTGAAAGATGGAGGCATTTTGGCCAGACCAAAACTGTGACTACTACTCATAGTTGTAGCAGCCACAGCAGTTATAACATTAAAGAGGAGAAAAAGAAGTGCCTTCTTACACATGACACATTTTAGCAGATTGCAAATCTGGGCAGTGGAGGAGCCCTGCTGCTCAAACGCCATCATTCACTAAACCTGGGAAAGGGGCGGCTTCTCCAAGGCCAGCATTCTTACAGCCATAGCCAGAGCAAACTGAAGTCAGAACCCACGGACACCCACTAACACATCAGTGCAACCACGCAAAAATGAACTGCTAAAAAAATAACAGACTTCAGGACAAGTGCTCCTGCTGCCTGCTCTTCTCAGGAGATATTAGCGAGATGCTCACACTGTGCACTGGACTCTTCCCTGACTTGGCTCCCTGGGGTTCCCATCAAACGTGAGACATTCGCATTTGTTAAGAGAGAGTGGTGTGTGGAATGGTTTGGAATGTGTGAGGCACCTTAAAAATAGTCCTGAATGAGAAGTAGCCATGCACGGACGCTGGTCGGATTTCAGATATAAAGGAGACCAGGCCTGTGACCAGAGGATTGAGTTTCTGGGTCAGAAATCTCAAAGAGCTCTTCTCCTCAGTGCCTGCTTTTATCCTTCAATCAAGGAAGCACACAAAGCACTCACGATCCCAGGTGCCTCAGCTGTGAAATGCCAGCCACAAGGAAGTTACGTGGGGTTTTATGCCAAGTATTTGCACACATGTGTTGGCCTCATGTACTGCTTTTGAAATAAGTGGTTGCAAAACTGGCCAGGACAAAATGGAACCCTCCAGAAAATGAAGCCGTGGTCTTGCTGATGGAATTGTCCTAATACAGGAGTAGTATTGCTAGGCACTCTAGTGACGGCCATGAGAAGCCTTGCTTTTCTGTTTGTGTTTGAGATTGTGAAGATAATCTTCGTAGGTGTGGGAAGTAATTTATAAGCTGCTTTCTCTGGAGTTGGGGAAGTTAGCCTTTGTCAGTCAGTGTGGGATGCAGCTCTACTGGGGACGACATGGGCGGGAGTTTCAGAACACTGATGTGGGGAGAATGGTTACGGTTGTCAAGACTAGTGTCTCAGCAGCCTCGGAAACAAGTGAGGGTGGTGTTGGTTTAGATGAGCTGCTTTAATAGGGAGATCAAAATGAATTTGATGTATAATCAGAATCCTAGGTAAGTGAACAAAGAACGGTTTTTTTTAGAATCAAACCTTTGGGGATTGGGTGGTAAAGGGAAATACTTATTTTTTTAGAAGATATTTATGTGTCATGTGAAACTTTTCTCCAGATGTATGTGGTCGTATGCAGTTGTGTGGCAGTAGAGTAATTCTAGGCTGAACCTGTTGCCATAGCATGTTTGTATGTTGTTTTTTGTAACATTGGAGTGACGCTGGCATCCCAGCTAGGAGCAGTTGTCCATGGGAGTTTTAGTATTGCATTAGCAAAAATGGACAGTAAAGGAAAATGAAACTTCTGATAGGTCAGGGGGATCCAAGCGTGTCTGCTTGTGAGCAGGCAGCAGAGTCTACAGAGAACACTGGAGCCTTCGCAGGTGAATCCGACTTCCCCCGTGAACAGACTCTTAGGACCTCCTTTTCTGTGACTCTTCAAAGGTGTGGTTCAAACAGTCATGCAATCTATAGAAACTAAACTAATAGATCTTTGCTTTTCTTAAACAATACGCTTGATTAGGATGTCTGTTTTTACACCTCATAAAGCTTTTGGCTAGCACCTAATGCATTAAATAAGGAGGATTTTTACATTTTGAGTTTATAGAGTAATATGTAGCTGGAAAGTAAAGCTGGCAGGAGAGCAGCCTAGGTGACCTGGAAACAGTCCTGCATGGAACACCTGAGACAGGAGGGAAGCCCCGAGGGCAGGTGTGGTCACCGTGTTAACGCTGTATCCCCCACGCTTTAGACGGTGCCTAGCACTGGAGGTGCTCAATAAATACTGAATAAAACACTGCATAAAATACAAAGTATCCTCTTAAATACATTGCTGAATTCCCAGGAAATTTAGGGGAATCTTCAAGAGTTGGAATTGATTTTAGAATTGGGACCCAGAAAGCCAGACACGGTGGTTCACGCCTGTAATCTCAGCACTTTGGGAGGCTGAGGCGGGCAGATCACTTGAGGTCAGAAGTTCAAGACCAGCCTGACCAACATGGTGAAACCCTGCCTCTACCAAAAACACAAAAATTAGCCGGGTGTGGTGGCATGCACCTGTAATCCCAGCTGCTCGGGAGGCTGAGACAGGAGAATTGCTTGAGCCCGGGAGGTGGAGGTTGCAGTGAGCCCAGATCGTGCCACTGCACTCTAGCCTGGGTGACGGATCGAGACCCTGTCTCAAAACAAAAACAAACAAACAAACAATTGAGAACCAGAGCGGTCTCTGTGGCCCTTGGGTGGGTGGATTAGGGAGATTGTTGCCAGAACTGGTAACTGGGAGCCTTGGGTTTCAGCAGCTCCAAAGGAACAGAAGATGGGGCCCGACATCGCAGGGAAAGAAAGGAAATGAATGAACCAGAGAAGCATTTGCCTGCTGGCCCTGGGGCAAGGAGCGAGGAGGCAGTGCGGATACTTGTTTCCCCAGCAAGAGCTCTGCATCAGGAGTGGGAGGGCTAGAGCTTGCCTCACCCAGGGTCAGGCTTCGAATTGATGTTACCAGTTTGGTCCGGGAATCCCCAAAGAAAGGGATTTGTGTAATATTGCGAGCTCCAGCAAACAGGAAACCAATCTGGAGGCACATCCTCCACCCAGATCCATACCAGATCCATAGGTAAGTGCCCCAGGAGATGAAGTCACACAAGCCAGTAACGTCCAGCAGGAACACGAGTTGGCAGACACGGCAAATGGGATTCAGCCCTAAGACTGCAGATAATAGAATTTTCAGATGGACGCTATCAGATAAGTGCGTTCACAGTTATTAAAGGCAACCAAACAGGACAACAGTATGTCACCATCATAAAAGACCACATATATTTTTTAAGTAATAGAACTTTTAGAAATGAAAAATTAGTCATTGAGGTCAATTCAACACGTAGGGAAATGCATCTTTTCAGAGAACCCCAAACGATGCTTCATATGTATAAAAGACTATAATAGTCTCGAACAACTAGCAAATCAAAGCAGCATTTAATGCTCTCAGAAATTACTGAGTTTTCTGAAAATAGGATGTTTAAATCTCTAGTTTTCAAAATTTTATGCCAAACTTGGTGAATCCCCAGTGTCTGATTTTCTCTCTCCATTCTTCTTTCCTTAATACCCCTTTCTCGTATCCCCAGTGCTAAGGAAAGTGCTCTGCTCTTTTATTTTTTGCATTTTCTGTTCTTAGGGTGTGATCTTCACTCTTGACTACCCAGGTACCATCAGATTAGGAGGAGCAAACAGTATCCTCAGGGAGAAGTAGTAGATGAGTTAAAGGGACTCAGAATGAACCAGTGAAACAGCACATATTTTATTGCAACAATCTACTCGAATTCCCAGTTTTATAAATCACCTGTCTTCAAGTAGCATAATCCAGTGGGTAAACTGTCATGCTTAAATTTTGGTGATGCCTGAGATTTTTAGCATAACAGTGTTTCCATCTCTAAACACATTTGATTTCAGAAGTAGTGGCACTGACTCCTCTATCATGGCATTAGAACATAAAAGGTAGACTTTACCAATAAAAGTCATGATACGGATTCCACCACCTGTCTTTAAATGTAGTAAGTCCATCTTTGTGCGATTCTCCTTAGGCAACATGTGCGATTGGGAGGCCTGAAGCCGTGCATCTCTGCTCATTGATGAACCCCCACCCTATTGCCCTGAGCATCGGGGTCAGATCACCTCGATAAAGACACCCTCGGCTGAGCAGGAAAAACTCTAATAAGAAAGCGTATGAAAAAATTGATTATGCAACTCAGAAAGACCCCATGACTTGGGGAGGGAATCCAAGAGGCTGATGTGTAATAGGTGGTCATGCTTGCCTCGGTCATAGTCAGCTCTGACCATCCCAGCATCCAGAAGCCACTGTGGGAGCAAGGTCACCTCTGGTGTACTTTGGCCATCTTCTCTCAGTCTGGTTTGTGGTTATGGTGGCGGGTGAAGCTGCCCACTCCCCTCCTGGGTAAGAGATGCAGGGCAGCTAGAGCTGTCCCTCCCCAGGTAACTCAGGGAGCTGTGGGGTCTAGAGGGAAACCCCAGGGGAGCTGCCACAGTCACTCCACTGCTGCAGCGCCCACACATGCTGTGTCGCTCCGTGTGTGTCCCTGGCTTGTGCAGATGTCTGTCCTGCGTCGTCACCTCAGGCAGAGTTCTCACTTCCACTAAACCCCTTCCTTTATCCCACCGATCAGCTCAGGGGCCCCTCTGTTTTACCTGAGCAGAGTGTATCCATAGAGGAGCTACAGGGTCAGCTCGTGCAGGCGGCCAGACTGCATCAAGAGGAGACAGAGACATTTACAAACAAGATCCATAAGGTAAATATTTAACACGGATTTTTCAGCACAACCGCTTCATGAACTGCACAGCCCCAAAGGAGAAATGCCACGATGCATTTTCAAAGAAGGCTGTCTGTTGCGTACAGGCTGCTAGACTCCCGGGCACCTATGGGAAGGTCACCCAGTAGAGCTGTCCCCTCTCAGATGCCCCTACAGATAACTCTACCTTTCTGCTCTGGCACATGCTTTTCAGCATCTACACTGTGGTCTCAGCAAGGTCTTCCTCATACCTAATCTAAACTTTCCTACAGCAGTACCAGCCTAACATCAAGTAAGAGCCTAAATGGAACTGGACAGAAAAGTGTGTCTGTCACCTCTGCTAATGTTGGGTGAATTTTCTGATAGAAAAATCAGCAACCTCATGCTAAGCCATTGCCTTCAGAAAACTGCCGCAACTTGAGCTGTGGCCTGATGAACCTCTGTTACTCTTGAATAACCTGGTACTGGCTAATTACCTTTTATCTGCAAATCCTTCCCCAGAGTTCCCAGTAGAAGGGATTCGCAGATGTGGGCACTCATCGCCCTGGACATCCATGAGAACGGCCCAATCCCTGCCACCCCAAACCTAATTAAGTTGTGGACAGATATCTAGGTTCAGAATTGCTGCAGCTGCTCTTCCCCTGTGTATTTGTTCTTGAAAGATAGTTGTGTCTTTAAAACCAAACAAAGCAAAGCAGTTGACCTTGAATAGAGCACCTTGGTGTTTTAAAATAAATATCCTATGCAGATAAAGTCCTGGTGGATCTAAGAACTTACTTTGGCGAGGAATGTGCGCTGCACGTAACCCCCATGTTGACTGAGGCCATGTGATTCAAGTGGGTCACAAACTGATTAAAGGAGCGAGTGCCTTCTCCGTACCTTGCAGCTTAGGGAAGGCAGAGCCGAATGCCAAGATCTAAATACTTTCTGCCAACTTCCACCACTACATGCAGGACTCAATTTTTAAGTGTTTCATTTAGGGGTCAAGTTGCACATCTTATTATCAGAGGAAAATAATTCCATGTTACTTGAAAGATAGATTCCTAAGTAATTAAACAAAAAAAGTTTTGCATGGCACCAAAAATGGTTTGAAAAGTGAGTTTATCACTGAAGATGCTGCTAGCACAATGTCCGGGGCCCACGTGTTTCTAGTACGTGGGTTGATGATGGAGGAGTATTGCAGAAGAGGCTTCGAATGGTAGGAGATGTCCTTCAGGCTTGTTCAGAAGGGAAGGGAAAGTGTCCCCCAAGGTGCCCAGAGGGCAGAGGACTGAGCTCTGAGACTTGGGGGGTTCACGGAGTCGTGGAACAGAAGGAGCTGGAAAGGGCAGTCGAGACATGAGGGAGAGAAAAGAAGGCTCTCCAGGAGGGCCTGGGCGCAGTGCTGGAGGCGGGTCTGAGTGTCTCAGCGCCTCTCCACAGCCGGGCCCAGCGCCTCTCCACAGCCGGGCCCAGGGCCTCTCCACAGCCGGGCCAGCACCTCTCCACAGCCGGGCCCAGCGCCTCTCCACAGCTGGGCCCAGCGCCTCTCCACAGCCAGGCGGGGAAGGGGCTCACGTTATCTTCACATGGCCCCCCTGAGGCCAGTGAAGCCTGCCCAGCACGAGTCAGCTGGCTAAGACTTGTAAAAGAAAGTAAAACTACAGGACTTTCTAAATGGATTATGTCAAGGGCGAAGTTAAGTCCTGGAGACTGAGTCATGAACATGTTTGCAGTTTTGTTTCTTAGATTATAGATGAACTCTCTTCCTCATTGTTCTTGTTCTGTAAATGACCAAGAGGCCAGAGACCAGACCTCCCTTCTTTTTAATTACTGATCTTTGTTATAGATTAACTGCCTCTTCTATTGTCATGTATCTAACTCAAACCAGATGGTGCAAAAGATCCCATGACTGTTACATCTTCAGTGTGAAATGTTAAATACACTTCCCCCACCCAAAAAAATACCACGTTGACTTATCAGGAGGAAATTGCAGATGCTGGGTGTCTGGTGCACTAGGCTGCCCTTGTGTCCACAGGGGAGAACCAGTGGTGGAATGCTGAGGGCTGCTGAGATGGTGAATAAAATCACCTATTTTCTTTTATTTTGGCCAAAACTACAATAAAGGTCAGCTGTTAGGAGAACAGCCACCAAGTCGTTGTCTAGACCTGTGGACCTTTGCAGAGCTGCCTCTGACTCTTCACTGGCCTTCAGTGCATTGGCCTCCAGCAGCTGTGGTTCTATTCCCATGGCCTCTGAGAATGAATCTAGTACTTTAAAGAGAAAAATAAATCCCTTCCTTGGTTTTTGGCATAAGAAGGAGTGTTAAGAGAGGACAGCTGATAACCTTCAGGCTGGCATTCGAACCTTTTATTGGTCTATAGAACACAAAGCTTTGATCCCATAGTATCACTTTAGCTACTGTAAATATTATTTGTTGATACTATTCTTGTGCCCTTATGTGCAAAGCGGTATTTTATTCACTCTTTTGCTTTTCAGTGTTGATATACAATTATCGTTTGTTGCTTAGAAGAGTGTCTATACCAGGGGCATTTAAAAAAGGGGAATTTAATGTGGAGATGCAAGATACTTTTTCAGTGACACTTTTCTTTTCCTAAGAGATATGCACATCTAATAGGAATATCAAGTCTTTAAGCATGGAAATAGGCTCTCAGACACACTTTTCTGTTTCCTCGCTGTTGTATGCAGTCGAGGCCTGCGTACTTGGAAGAATTCCTTCCACCCAGCCTGCTGTGCTCTCCACCAGCTGGGGTTCTCTTCTGTCAGGGCTGTGGGGAGTCAGGGGGCTCAGGAAGTAGAGGGGAAGGATTTCCACTTCTTCTTTACAATTTAATGTGCGTTTGAGCGCCTAGCCCATACAGAGGGGAAATGGAATCTGCTTACATGGGATTTAAGTCAGTGGTAAGCCGCACTTCCGAGACACGGTTTTCCTGAAGGAGTTTAGAGACATACGAAACACCATGAGAGACTTGGCAATGAAAAATTGTCACAATACCTTATTTTGAAATAGCACTTGTTTCTGAATCACACGATTCATGGGGTTTTGTCAACAGGAAACGTCTGAAGCCCTTAATCAAACTAAACTTCTGGGGGCTCCTGTGTTTCATATCTTATATGCAGCACGACAGAGACTGAGTGGCAGTTTGCAGGGACTCTTGGTTTGGTTTGGGTGGCGGATTGGATTAGCCGCTTGTCACACTGTCTCTTGTTCCATTCAAGATGGAGGAGGAGCACCTCTATGCCTTGAGGTGGAAAGAACTGGAAATGCACAGCCTGGCTTTGCAAAACAGCCTCCATGAGCGAACCTGGAGTGATGAGAAGAATCTGATGCAGCAGGAGCTCCGGTCCTTGAAGCAGAACATTTTCCTCTTCTACGTCAAACTCAGGTGGCTGCTGAAACACTGGCGGCAAGGGAAGCAGATGGAGGAGGAAGGAGAGGAGTTCACTGAGGTAACTCCACTGTCAAGTTCCTTTTATTTGCATCTGTTTTGTTCTTGACCCCAGACACTGTTATCTCCCCACGCACCCTATACACAGTCATGTTCTATTATTTTATTTCTCAATATTTGATTAACATCTAATATTGCTACAACAAACATTTAGAGCAATTCATACAGACAAAGAGAAAATTGAACACAGGTGACTGAAACATCGATCATTTTCCTATACACAAGCAAATGTAACAGAAGTAACATTACAGTAGCAAGAGCAGGTATGCAGTGCTAGGCATAAACTTACTGAGAATAGTGCAGGAAGGACATGAAGAAAACCACAGACTTCCCTATGAAACCTGCATGATGTTCGTGAGTGAGGGACTGGCAGAGGCAGGTGCTGTTGGTTGCCTGCTCAATATCTACTCTCTCTCTTTTTTTATTGGTACATATTCATGGGATACAATTGCAGTTTTGCCACGTGGATATTTTGCGTTGTGGTGAAGTCATTATTATTTTAAATTGTTTTGTCAATTTTGATCCAAGAAATGGAAATGCAGCAGCTTGTCCAGTTATATATGAAACTAAGAATTCCGTGCTATGCTCTGACCTAGTTTTAAGAGTGCCCTGGTCCATAACTCCACGCTGTAGCAAAGTTTCGCTCCTGTCTCCTTTGCTGCTCATTTATAAATTCATTGATGTTATCACCCTGAGGTCCTGCACCATCTCATTCAACCTGGCTGGTTTGTAAAAGCTGGTTTCTAAAACTTTTGCTTTTCTTTCTATTTGAGTTTTGTTCCTAGATGTGAAAAGCCGTCCTGCCCACACAGTTTTAAAAGGATCTTTTCTAAGCTTCAGATGACTCACTTTGCCACCTCTGGAATTTGTATATGTTCTTCCTGTTATGCCTCAATTCCTAGGTTTATAATAGAAACAGAACAGAGATCTTTGCCTTCTGATTGCTTTTGTATTGATTAAGTCAGAGTGACTGATTGCACTGCCGGCTCCTTCCTGGCTTTGCTTCCTGGTGCACCCGGGGCTGGAGCCACTGGTGTTCTGTGTATTCTGCACATCCACGACCCTGACTTCTTGGCCAGCTGCTTCGAGGCATTGTGAATAGATGGTTTCTTTTTAGCTCCCAAAGACCTTTTGTCTGGTTTTCACTCTAGGGAACAGTGTATGTAATTTTAAGTTCTCATCCTAGGAATGGGAAAATACAGTGCTTCTCTTTCCTCAGGGTGAAGAAAGTCTTCAAAAACTAATTCTGCCAGCTTCCAACTATCCATGACATAGAAAACCATTATTAAGCAAAGCCTAGAAATCGTTTTAAAGTTTCCTGTTGATCAGTACTCTGGAGTTCCTCCTCCTTTAACTTACAAAACCATAGCTATTAGTAATACTAATTTAAAAACAGTAGAATTAAAAGTTCTCCTTAATGTCTTCTAATGTCTTCTCCTAATGTCTTCTAATAAGTTGAGCACCCACCCTGTGCTATTTAAATGCAGAAGGTGCCCATGAGTGAAATGGCCAAAATGAGCATTTTAGGGGTAAGGACTGAGAAGTATAGGCGTTGATAATCCATAAAATGGATCATTATCCTCAAACAATGAAAATCAGGCTCTACAGCAAAAGGATTTGGCTGAAACTGTGATCGTCACCTCCTGCCTGTTTCAGGGTGAGCATCCAGAGACCCTCTCCGGGCTTGGGGAGCTTGGAGTCCAGGGGAGTCACCAGGTGGATGGCCCAGACCACGACGACAGTGACCGAGGCTGTGGCTTTCCAGTGGGGGAGCACTCCCCACACTCCCGGGTTCAGATAGGAGACCACAGCTTACGGCTGCAGACCACGGACAGGGGACAGTCCCACAAGCAGGTGGGTGCCTCAACCCGAGCCCGTCACCCTGCCCCCACCAGGGAGAGGAGACTGCTAAGCTACATTTGTGTCATTTTGTTTCCAATGTTGGTGTTCAGGTAGCAGAAAATTCCACTGCCTAACTGCGGTCACCTGTTGTCATTTGTGATGCTGGGTTTTTCCTAGAAGTCACCTCATCAAGCCTTTCATCTCAATGTCAGCCCACCCTTTCATTTGAGTTACCCATATAAATAAGGACTGTAGTAAGGCTAGATCAGTGGTGGTGTCCGTGCTGGGGCCAGTGAATTTACCTCAGAGAGTCTGTCATTGGCAACATCATTCATTTGGCAGCATAACATATAAGGAGCAAAGGACAAGTTTAAAAAAAAAATCCCCCAACGTGGAAGAAATATTTCAAGTTCTCTTTGGCCCACTTGAAACATGATGCTCCCAGATAAAAGTATTTGATGACACCTTGAAAAAAAGTAAAGCATGTAGAATGAGAGGTGAGACTTCAGTGTTACTAAGTAGCTGTTATTATTGCCAAAGACCATACAAATAGACTCTGCTTAATAAACCAAAAGATACTACTGATAACATCCAAACTGCCTGCATTTTTATAGCAAAATGTCAGTGACGGAGGATTTGGAGTAAGGAGCTCCTGAGCAGGACCCTGTGTTAACACTCTGTCGCTCCCAGGCTTCTGAGTCCCCTCTAACCCAACTTTATTATGTATTCATGATGATAAAGCTTCTCAGGAGGCTCCTGGGGTGCAGCTGGACGCCCCTGCCCTAGGAGGCCTGCGTTCTGGGCTGAGGGCGCAGGGCCAGGTGGCCACAGCGGCGGCAGTCATATGGGCGCGGCTCTAGCCTCTCAGCTGTAGACACTCTGGGGCACTCCCTCTGCACTGGACGCCACAACTGCTGCTTCTCCCTGGCCCGGGCTCCCGGGGCCCAGAGCCGCTGCTTCTAATGGGAACGGGCTGTCGCCAGAGCGCTGGCTCAGATCCAGATGACAGGCGGCGACCTTCTGAGTGTAGGCTGAGGGGAATTTGGGTTCCCCCTGCTCCCTCTCTATACAATCAGATTTTCACACCTAAACAGCTGTTTCCTATGTACACCCATCCCCCCTTCATTCTCCCTGAATAACATGACTTAAGAAGGAGATGATACTTTCAAAGGAACTTTTATTCACAGCCATCAGAAAGTATGCCATTATGCCATTGTTCGTGGGAGAATTTAGGTCATGGAATGAGTTTTCCAGCAATAATCTAGTTAGAAATGAAAATGCTACTTTCAAAAAAGTAAAAAAGAAATGTCATTCAGTCCCATTAAGCATGTGTGCTTGCCTCCCTTAATATTGCCACTGACGGCCACTGTTCCCACCTCACCGCCAACCTGCTGCATCTAAGACAACGTGTTGCCCACGCACTCACGCAGATGCTCTGGACGAGAAGACACCTCGCACATCTGGTTTTCTAAACAACAGTCATGGAAAATGTTACTCTCAGGGTGGAAAATAATGTGAAGTCACTCAGCTGGAACCTTACATTCAGCATATTTTAATGTCGTTTCCCTTTGCTTCCTGCTTCTTCCAACACTAGTTTTTAGCGAGAGATGGACCCGTGAGCTTCCACTGTGGGCCGCGTGTTATAGAAGCACGTGGATAGGTGGCCGGGTGGAGTCCAGACACTGAGACCCAGGTCTGCTGAGTGGGCCAGTGTCCGCAGTAGTGAGCGAGGAGCTCAGTACTGTGGGCACAACACTCATCTGTCCAAGGACGGAAGATGGACGAGCTCTACTGTAACGACAGCTGGTTCTCTGGGAGGGAACATTCCCGGTTAGAGGATTTGCCTCTCTGTGACTGGCATGAGTATTAGCCAGGCAGCTGGGATGCAAGAGCCAGGGCACGTGTCTCGCAGAGCTGCACAGAACCGGGCCGTTCCAGAAACGCCGAGCACCTCGCAAGGCGATTAGTAGCATGGGAAACCTAGCCAAGCCATTTTCCCAAGGACAAGTTCTCAGTCACAATGTTCCTCAGGCCTTGGTCTTTGCTTTGTGACATGTGGAACATTCTCACAATTGAACTGAAGTAGATGGCAACATTTATCACGTCCGCAGAGGTTGAAGAAACAACTGCATACACTGATCAGCCTTGGGATGGCTCATAACAAATCATCAGGTTGGCAAACATTTGGCTCTGCGACACTCCCTGTTTCCCAGTGTTCAGCTACATGAGTTCGTGGTCATGACCTGGTGGCTCCAGAGCCACAGTGAATGCTTTTCAGAGGGAATCGTATCGTTCTCCTTGAGCTCCAAGACTCTCGCCACTGTGTTAAGCATCTGAGGCCAGCATTCCTAAGGCTGTTTATGCATTTCATACTGATTTGTAATTCCTGAAATCCAGCTTCTTCACACAAGGTGATGAATGGTGTGGGAATGATGGCCCTGGGGCACCAGCAGCTCCTTTTCCCTACTTGGGTTAACTGATTTAAAAAGAAGTTACTTTCTCATTCAGGGATGTGACCTAATTCTCTTTATCATTTAATAAAACAACTAAGTAAAAAAAAGTGTGAAGAACCTAATATAAAATTCATAGCAAGAGCTGAAGGAATTGTATTTCATATTTAAGTCTTCATCTGCTACGGGTCACTAAAGAGCCTCACCCCTCACCCAGTCCAGCCTCGGGACTGAGTAGACTCCACTTCCCTGGACCTCTGCTCCTTGTCAGGGCTCCTGTGCTGCATTAGGGCCTTCAGGGGCTGCCTGAAAAGTCAGCCTTTCTCCTGCAGACAGAAAGCCCTTGGCTCCCTGGGCCTCCGGGGCTGTGGCTCTCCCAGGCCCCAGCAGTCTTCCTTTCTGGCCATGCAGGCTGCCCACCTTTGCTTGCCCAAGTTGCAAAAACTGCATGCTTGCCAGAGGAGGCCTCACATCAGAACTGTGATCTGCCTTTTTTTTTTTTTTTAAATAAGAAAGTTCTCTTGAGCCTAGATGGTGTTTACATTTCAATTTTGTACGTCATACTGTGGTTCATTCTTCAGTTTATCCTGCAACTGGGAGGCCTCCCCTATAAGGCATGCTTCTCTTTCTGTAAAAGGAACCAGACCAGAGCTTGGGATCGTGAAGTGTTTTATCTTTGCCATGTACTTGTGGTGGCAGTTGTTCTGTCACTCCGAAAGTAGCCCCTGCGTGAGGTAAAAATTCACATGCACAGATGGGTGCTTGGTGGAAGGATTCTCCCCGCCCCGTCCTACCTCCCAGAGTCAACCATGGCCAGCAGTTTGCCACAGGCCTTCCAAAGTGCCTAACTCAACCTGGGACCTCACAAATAAGTTTCTTCCCTAGTGGCCACCTGATTTTCATCAGACTTGCCCTGGTTTCCTAAGCCTTTGGGTTGATAACTGTGTTTACAGCTTATAAAATATGTGCCTCATCTATTCTTTCCCGGATCCACATTCGTTCTTGGGAAGCTCTTGGTGACATTTGTGGAGACCACAGCCCAGAGCCCTCCTGGACAGGATCACTGGGCAGACTCTTGGCCAGAGGGCAGAGGACTTCTGTGTGTAATGACTCTAATTCCCATGATATTAATAGATTATATTTTCAGGGTCTGTCTTCAGTGGCCCATTCTCTGTAGGGGATAATGGTTTTTAGAAAAGAACTTTTCTGGATGTAACAGTGAAGGTTACATTGAGGAGAACAACAAATGGCTCATTTATAAAAATGTTGCCGGCTGTGTGAATGTATCAATTCTAGTTAATCTCACAGTAAAGAATTTCTCCAGGGACTGCCGCTGGTGGAGGAGTTGCCTGTGTTGAATGCTAAGTGAGGTCTCAAAAAGGAGCTATGCGTGCCTTGTGGGGGTCTGAGCAGCTACTGCATCATTCTGGAATTCCCCTGCCTCTGTCAAGGAGCCTAAATAAACGTGGACGCTGTCATCTCTATTTTGTGACTGTTGTTTTGTGGGTTAACCCATAGCAGCAAGTCAATGTGTGTTCCAGCTTCAGATTCAGCTTATAATCTGTTATAAAGTTAGTGGCTCTGATGCAAGCAAAGTAGTTGGTGGTGGTTTAGCTCTTTTGTAGAGCTGTGATTTCACCTGATGAAATCTTAGAAATCTTAGGCAAGAACAATTTGGAAAAATAGCCAGCATTGCGTCACACATACCTTGATACGTTACCTTATCTACAAACTTCCATTTCACTTTCTATTAGTAATACTTATTAATAGACTTGGATATTAGACTTGGATAGATAGACTTGGATAGCAGTCTTATGGACCAAAGACCAATTCTGAACCTGTTAAAAAGTTTGATGTATTACAGCACATCGTAAGTCTCACTCAAGAGAGCTGAGCTAGGTGAGGCTGTAATGCCTATAGGCGGAGGAGAGGGAAATAGTTGGAAGCTTTTTATCCTGCTGCTTTGCTAGAAAATCAGCCAGCTAATATCTGAATGAAAAGCCCGATTTTTGAGTTGAAACCGACCTACACTCAACACACGTACAAGCTAAAAGGTTGCATCCTAGACCCCGGCACAAAAGGTTCAGAAAGTCCCGTGTCCAAGAAGACTTACATCATAAAGACGTCTTAATGGACCTGAGTCTTCATTTGATTCTTGACTTGATTTGGGTCATCTTTTTACCCAAAAGGTAGCCCAGCAAGGGGTGCCACCAGGGGAAAAAAATAAGAGAAGTTAACTTTTAGGTATTCTCTCAGAATGACTCACTATCATTAATTTCCCTTGATATGGGAAATGGAATTAGCTTCATGGGGATTAGATGGCTTCTGCAAGGTGAAGTTAAAAAAAAAAAGAAGAAGAAGAAGAAAAAGGCTTGGCAGGGTATAATGTCAGAATTCGAATATTCCTGGCTCCGTTTGTTGGCCTTGGAAGGGGACGACCTAGACTGCAGTCCAGGATCTCACTTCTTTGACAGTAGAACCTTGGCCCTCAGCCACTCTAAGCCATAGTTCCTCCTCTGTAAAATGGGGAACATAGCATATGCACTCAAAATTGATGTGACATATAAATAAGGTCATGTTGGCGGTAATTTAGTGCACCCCCGGCCATAGGAAACACCTATAATATTAGTAATTATCGTTACTTTTTTTTGCATGTGTGTGAAAGTCATTAGAAAAATCATGCCCATCTACGGCTCATTCTGGGTCTTCAGAAATGTTGACACGGACGTCCACTTACGCTGTTGCGTGCTAATGGTAGGAGCTGGCCTGGCTTCCTGCTGTGCCTCATGCTGCTCTTGGGGAATGACGATAACAGGTACCAACAGCATTGAGCTGGGCTCTCTTGCTCCCTTTGGCCACCTTCACCCCAAAGCAATTCTGGAGCTCATTCCACGTTGATTAATATTATCCTGGTTTAATAGAGCACTGTTTTGATTACTCTGACGCAAATGTGCATAAATCATTAAGGCTTAAATTTTATTGAATTCAGTATCTGTTAAAGCCAAGAAGTACTTGCTTCCAGAGAAACCAGGTTTCCAATCTGCAAGAGGACTGTACAGTTCTGATTCTAATGTCGTGTGGTGTTCGGGCCAAGAACAGCATAGTCTGATACCATATGTAACCTGGCATTCGTAGGAAACTTGATTACATATAACAATGTATTATATGGTTTTCTGCTTTCTCTTCAGTGAAAATTAAATGACTTCTCCAAAAACTGGATCAAAATTATTACCATTATTTTCTGCTTGAAATACTCTTGACTCAAAAAACAGTGATTTTTAATTTAAAATCCAAAGATGAAACTCCCAAACAAATCTACCACAAAATATATGCGATTATTCAGCAAACAAATTCTATATGAAGATGTATATTTCTGAAAAGATTGTTATGACACGTCTTATCACTCAACTGTACTTAGATAAGTTTTAGATTTTTTTTTTGAAACAGGGTTTTACTCTGTCACCCAGACTGGAGGGCAGTGGTGTGATCGTAGCTCACTGTAACCTTGAACTCCTGGGCTCAAGCCATCCTCCCATCTCAGCCTCCTGAGTAGTTGGGACTACAGGCAAGAGCCATGACACCTGGCTAATTTTTAGGTACTTTTTGACGTGGAGTTTTAAAAGCTGTTCTGTGTTTGTCACAGCTTCACATATTTGGTGAGCATGTCTTTGAGTGTAGTGCTAATTTATTTCTGTTCAGTTGGTTGGTAAGAATGCATAAGACTCATAGATGATTCCCTAGCTTCTGAGTTCTTCAAATGTTAACTGAACTGTACTCTTAATGCCTTTTGTCCCAGAGTTATTAAAGTAAAAATTGTTCCCTGTGAGAAAAAGAGCAATAAATATGAACAAACAGGCCTTTCTACTCCATCAAAAGTCCGTTGTAGCTGGGCACAGTGGCTCATGCCTACAATCCCAACATTTTCTGAGGCTGAGGCAGGTGGATCACTTGAGGCCAGAGTTTGAGACCAGCCTGGGCAACATGATGAAACCTTGTTGCTACAAAAAATACAAAAATTAGCTGGGTGTGGCGGCACACGCCTATAGTCCCAGCTACTTGAGAGGCTGAGGTAGGAAGACTGCTTGAGCCCAGGAGGTTGAGGCTGCAGTGAGCCGTGATCCACTGCATTCTAGCCTAGGAGACAGAGCAAGACTTTGTCTCAAAACAAAACAAAAAAAGTCTACTCGATTAAATACTGGCGACAACTATGGAGATCCCTATAATAAATCTGCTCATATTAAAGAATTTCTCTTTTTAATACGACTTTATTTTTGAATATATACATATATAATTATATATAAAATATATAAAAAAATATAAAATATATAATTATATATGTATATATTATCTATATTATAAATATAGATAATATATATTTTAATATATATATAATTTTAGGTTCGGGGGTGCATATGCAGGTTTATTATATGGGTATATTGCATGATGCTGAGGTGTGGGCTTCTAATGACCCCGTTACCTAAGTAGTGAACGTAGTACCCAATAGGTAGTTTTTCAACCCTTGCCCCTCTCCTTGCATCCCCTTTTGGAATCCCCAGTGTCTGTTGTTCCTCTCTCTGCCCGAGTATACCCCGTGTTTGGCTCCCACATATAAGTGAGAACATGCAGTATTTGGTTTTCTGTTCCTGCGTTAACTTGCTTAGGATAATGGCCTCCAGCTGCATCCATGTTGCTACAAAAGCCATGATTTCATTCTTTTTTGTGGCTGCACAATTTTATATAAATACAAACATCCATCCAAAGTATCTTAAATTCCTCCCATATATGTTTAACCATTTTTGTGTATGTTTAGTGGATCAACTAGATGGATTTAGAAGCATGACTGTGGAGTGAAGGCCAGTGTGTGTGCAGAACCTGAAGGAGGGGTCCCCAGTGTACTTGCCGAACCAGGGAGGAGAGGTTTATCAAGTTTGGGGGATGAGGAATTCTGAGAGGGTGGGGCTCTGTTTTTCCATACTAGAGCTTGTCTGTATCCAATGGGACTTAGAGAGCTTTTATAACTCCTGCTTCATAAATGCACCCAAAAAAATGTCCTGAGACCGCCCAGAGAGCTTGTGATGTGCTTTCAGTGCTGATTGGAAGAGATGGGCTTCCGAGGCTTTTATTTTCAAGGTACCATAATTGATTCAGCATGTTTCATTCATTTGGCCAAACCTTTCTGATATAATGCCCTTGCTGGAATGTACTAAGATAGAAATCATGGCTTTGAAATTTGACTTCAAAAGGCTGGGCAGGTTTTAGAACATATAAACCATTTTAAGTTAGATATAAGCACATTAGTAATAAAAATGCACTCTTCATTTACCAGACATATTTGCTTAACATGAGCCAAGGATTGTGCCAAATACTGGAAATGTGAGGGTGGGTCTGGCTTGTCCCTTTCTAAGAGGCAGAAAAGTGGGGGCTAGTAGTTCCATCTCAAGGAACCACAATAAAGCCCTCATGAACAAGTTATGCATTTCACCTTTGGCTTTAATTATTAAGCATCAAAATGTTTAATAATTAAACCCACCCACCAACAGTGGCCATGTGTGTCATATCTATGACCTTTTAGTAACCACAAGTCAGAGTCTGATCACCCTATGTGCATAGGAGTCCTTGGCCTTTGTTAATTCTCCTCTAGTACAACATCTGGCACTAGAATGGCAGCATATATATGAGTGGGTGTATAGGTCTTGTCATATCTGCACCCTCATAATAGTCTTGTCAGCCCAATTCAGTGTTCTGGACATCTGAAGTCACACAGTGACTGGCAGCCTTGGCTTCGCGGTTCCCTGTGGCCTCCTAGAGTTTCCTTGCTCCTGCTCCTCAGGGCCCAGAGCACCTTTGTGGCAGGTTCCCACAGTGCCAGCCCAGGTTCCAGCCTCTGAACACAGCTTCCACGTCACCAGGTCAGCCTTCCTTCTACCTTCCTGCCGATCAAACAGGTCCTCAGTCTCAGGCCCAGGAGACCGATGGCCAGCAACAGGGACCCCTTCCTCCCTGGCAAACTGCAGACTCCCCACCCACCCTGAACCCACTGCCAACAGCACCTGGGAAACAACCCCCACCCTACCGTGATGGCCAGATCCTCTCCTCTTCTGACCTAAAAAATACACTTGCAGGAGGTGGCGGAGCCTGACTCAGTGTTCCCACAGGTGGTGGAAAACCAGCAGCTGTTCAGCGCCTTCAAGACCTTGCTGGAGGACTTCCGTGCGGAGCTGCGGGAGGACGAGCGTGCCCGACTGCGGCTGCAGCAGCAGTATGCCAGCGACAAGGCGGCCTGGGACGTGGAGTGGGCCATGCTCAAGTGCCGTCTGGAACAGGTACCGCCCTCCCAGGTCTCTCTTGATCCTGACTATGTGTCTCTGCTGTCCAGGATATGTGGAGGGGAGTGGGCACAGAGAGATTCAGAACCATGGGCTTGTCCAGGAAAAAAGAGAGGAGTGGCTGTGTCTCTTCTTAAAGTGCAGAGGCCTCATTTTCCCTGATGTCCCCTCTCCCACGTATGCAGTACGGCCTCCACCAAGCAGCATTTTCAGAGCAGCATGTATTCTCCCATTCTGCATTAAACAAGCGTGTATTTAGCTCCATCAGAGGATGGCCAAGCTGAAGCTGTCATCACACTGAGCTGACATCACTCTAGACAGGAGCAAAGCAAAAGCAGATTGTGGTTTAGTTGTCTTTGAAAAAGGTAATTGCATGCTTTCGTTGAGATTTTTCAAAATATCAAAAAGAACTTCGAGACCTCCCACTGCATGCCCAAGAATTCTAATCAATTTCAGTCTCCTTATTTATACCGCAGGAAACTGAGGCCCGGAAGAAACAGCTCAGCTCAGATCACAGAGCCATTTAGTGCTAGGGCAGGAAGAGCGCCCAGGTTTCCTGCCTCCACCGCACACCACAGAGGGAAGCCCCAGCATAGGAGTTAAGATCAGACATAGCAAGAAACATCCTTTCCTCAGTGTTTCTTCCTTGGAAACCATTGAATGTCATGTGACTTCCTACATAGCATCTGCTGCTGAGAGCAGCTCTCAAGGTGTCTTCCAGCGCCTGGATCGTGAGGAGGGAGGGCAGGTCTGTGTATCCTTGGTAATCTATTTCCTAGACTCTATTTTGAGGCAAACCATAAAGTAAGTAAAATTTTATAGGAATTGGCCTGGTCATGAAAGGAACAGAATTGCCTGGAAAGGAGACCCCCTGTCACATGGTCTTGATAAAAGATGAAAAAGGCTTGATGTCTCAAAAATAATAATAATAATAATAATAAACAAAAAAACAAACTCTAGCTCTCCTGGTGCCCACAAGTTCCCCTGCATTTCCACCTGGCCGCAGCAAGCAGCGATGTTGGGCTGACAGCCCTGGGTGGGGCAGGGACACAGCCTTGCAGGCCTGAGCATCAAGTGAGAGAGCAGCTGGCCTGGTTGTGGCTCCTGCCTGCTGCCTGCGGGAGATTTGACCTAGACGCTCCGTTTATCTAAGTCCCCGCCTGCAACGTCAGCAGCAAAGGAGAAATGACTAAGGACAGTCTCTGATGAGCTGCCTTTAACCCTATTTAAAAAATATGTTTATAGAGGGAGCTAAATGTTTTCAAAGCCCGAACTGTAGCTAAAGAAGGGAGATGTAATCTTCGATGCAAGCCAGTTTCAAAACATTTCATCTTTGTTTTATAGGAACGTGTATCCACTCACAGGTTTGCTACAAATAAACCCTTAGGGAGAGTCCCTAAATACCAAAAAAATAAAGCTAGAACTTCAGACCCAGAAGCCAGCAGGTGGTCATAGGTAGAGAGTTTATCTTCTGCCCAAATCATTTAGGAAGTTTCTTAAACATTTGCAACCCAGGAGGCAATGAATATAGGATGATGCTAGCCCATTTGTAATAATATTACTCTCTTCTACTTAAATACAAAACAGTTTAATTCTGCTACAAGTTACCTTCCTTCAGTGAAGCCCATGTTGATGACACTTCCCAGGTCCTCGATTCCTTCAGCAGACTCCTGAGTCAGGCTTTGCTCTAAATGTTGAAGATCCAGCAACAAATCAGATGTTCCTTGAAGGGGTTCTCAGTGCAGCGGGGGACCCAAACAACTGCTGTCCTTTATAAAAGCGTGGAAAGTGCCCACCAGGCTTGCACATCGGGCTGTCAGGGAACAGGAACGTGCAAGGTGCATGCCTTGGCTTGAGAATTCGGGGAAGGCTGTGAAAGTCCTGCTGAGAAAAATCTCAAAGGATGGACAAGAACTGGAATGTGGAAAAGGAGAGAAAGAGTTTCAGGCAAAAAAAAAAAAAAAAAGAGTACCGTGAAGAAAGGAGCATGGCTCATTTGATAAGCTTAGGTATGAGGGGAAAGAATAATATTTAAGGAATTGATCCTTTAATTCTGATTTTATCATGAAAGCTTAGATTCCCTTTTTCAAAAGATTATTCTGGCTTCAAGATAGAGAATGGATTAACCTAGGGTTAGTGGTCTATAGACTGATATCAGGGAATTGCCGAACTAGAATAGGAAAGAGATGCATCTTTACGATCACTGACTTTCCACCAAAATTGAGCGTGTCCTCCAGTTATAAATGTAGGCAACAAGCCCAACAGAAATCACGGATCTTTTTGAAAGGAAATATGGAATGAAAGAATAAGAAGTAATCACACATCTCTCCATTTCCCATTACAATTGTTGTGGATATCCCAGAATTAACAGTGAGGAGGAGACTTTTGGCTTCACCAGGCTGCCACCTGGGTCCACAGTAAAAATATTGAGGAGCCCTGGGTTGCAGAGATTGGAGGTGACAGCGGTGACTCTGAAGTAAAGCAGCAGCAGTGGAGAAGGAGTGGAGGGAAAACACCTGAAAAAAATAGAGCAAGTAGAGAATGGCCGGGCCTGGTGGCCGGTTCATGAGACACCGTGGAGCAACAAGCACCTCGCACGGCTCTCGGGTTTCTAGTGTGGGTGCCTGGGCGATGGCGCCATCAGCAAGACAGGAACGCAGAGAGCCAGTTGGGATGGAAAGGGAACAGGTTGGATTTGAGTTGAGGTATATGTCATCACAGGCACTGGGGGCTGGGCTGAAGACGTATATACCTGGGCGTGAATGAGGAGGTGGGAGGCAGGGCCATGGAGGACTCTCCAGGACTGCACAGAATGAGAGGAACTCATAGAAGGAACCAAAATATTCATTTTCAAGAAATGAGTAGAGGGAGAAGAGACTGGAAAGGAGCAGCCAGAGAAATGTGCGAACATCCACAGCAAATGCCGTCCCAGAAGCCAAAAGGAGAGACACCATGGCGTTCCAAGTGGAGTTCAGCAGTATCAGATGCTTTGAAGAGGACGGGACAGATGAGGGATAAAAAGCTTTGTTGAACTTGGCAGTGAGGAGGTCACTGGAAAACTTGACAAGAGCAGTTGCCGTCGGGGTGTGGGGCTGAAGCTCTGTGCACTGTGCAGAGGGACAGAAGTTGAGTTGGGCGGGGAAGGGGAAAGAGGGAGCACAGACAGTGCAGTAACAGGAGCCGCAGGGTCACCGGGATGCCTGTCCAGTGAGACCTGACAGTGTAGGGACACTGGTGACACGAGGTCCCTCAGTAGGCGGGGGGATTGGGCTCTAAGCATTGAGGGGAGGGGGTGACCCTGACCGTGAGAGACCTGGGAGGTGTGGACAGAGGAGTTTGTGGGCAGAAGGAATGTGCCGGCCGGGCGCGGTGGCTCAAGCCTGTAATCCCAGCACTTTGGGAGGCCGAGACGGGCGGATCACGAGGTCAGGAGATCGAGACCATCCTGGCTAACATGGTGAAACCCCGTCTCTACTAAAAACAGAAAAAATTAGCCGGGCGCAGTGGCGGGCGCCTGTAGTCCCAGCTACTCGGGAGGCTGAGGCAGGAGAATGGCGTGATCCCGGGAGGCGGAGCTTGCAGTGAGCCGAGATTGCGCCACTGCACTCCAGCCTGGGTGACAGAGCGAGACTCCATCTCAAAAAAAAAAAAAAAAAAAAAAAAAAAGAAGGAATGTGCCTTCACTGTCTTCATGAAGCAGGTGAGCAGAGGCGATGTGGGGCCCAGGAAGGGGTACGCTGCATGAGGAGACTCTAAAGAGAGGACATGTTGGTGGCTGGAAGCATCTGCAGGTGAACAGACGCACCTGCGAGGGGCTCAGCGGCCTTTCATTCTGGGTTATGTGGGCTGCCAGCAGCTCTTTTAAAATGGGATTTCGTGGTGCTTGGTGCTTTTCTGGTAGTCTTCTGGTTAACTAACACTGGAGGTTTCTCCCCTCTTTTGTTTCTGCATTCTTTCTACTTAAAAAAGTTTTGTTTTCCCCAGATTTGCGTTTTATAATTGATCAAGAAGCGTCGCCACTGACCCGTGCCCGTGGCTGTCATCTGCTTCCTCAGGCCTTTCCCTGCTTTCTCTCCAAGGCCTGAGTCCCACTCAGATTCAGGGACAAAACAGTGTGCTCTCCCCACTTAATGAAGGGTTTGCCTTTATTACAGAGGCGAGATTCGATGTTAGCTCTCTCCCAGTGAGTCCCTGGTGGGCAAGAACTTTCAGTTTAACTGAGCACACCACTTAGCAGCCTGTCTTAGTCCATTTACTGTTGCTGTAAAGGAATACCTGAGGCTGGGTAATTTATTTAACGACGAGGTTTATTTAGCTTACAGTTCTGCAAGCTGCACAAGAAGCATGGTGCCAGCATCTCAGCACCTGCTACTGGAGAGGTCCAGCTGCTTCCACTCAGCAAAAGGCAAAGGGGAGCCGATGTGTGCAGATCATAGGGCAAGAAAGGAAGTGCAGGTGGGAGGAGGTGCCAGGCTCTTTTAAACAACCAGCTCTTAAAGAAATAATAGAGGGAGAAGTTATTCAGTCCCTGCCGCAGGGCATGAATCTATCCACTCCCATGACCTAGACACCTCCCACTAGGCCCCATCGCCGACATTGGGGATCAAATTTCAACGTGAAGTTTGGGGGACAGACATCCAAACTACAGCACTGATACAGACGTCTTTCTAAATATAATAATACTGGCTGGTTTAAGTCATTAATCTTTATATTTTTATATACATATATATAGTCTCAGAAAAGTTAAAACAATCTGCTTAGACATGGATAATCAGCCATGAATTATTTTAGTGGGTCTTGAAGTAACTCATTATAAGAAAGTTAATTGAACTCTACATATGAATATTGGTTACTGACTTACCATGTCCCTTTGGCAAGTCCCTGAAGCACTGAGCTGCCATTTCTTCACAAATAAACTGGGAATAAAGATACCTATACGTAGAGGATTGCAGTAGAGACCAAGTGAGGCAATCTGTGTGAAAGGCCTTTCTTCGAAAAGTATATTTTTGTTAAAATCGTGCACTTAATAAAATATAAGAGATTGCTTGTGAGGATAAAAACAAGGCACTGAACAGCAAGCTGTTGTGCGGTTTTAGTGTTTGCCGTGCAGTTTTAGTGTTCGCCCTAGGGTTTATAATATACGTATTTAATTACTCAGAGTCTACCTTGAAATCCTATTAGGCTACTTTTCATGGTGCCTGAGGAAATTGCAACAGTATATTCCCAGTTCCTTCCCATCCTCTGTGCTATTGCTGTCATAGTTTACCTCTACATATTCTGCAAACACAACACATTGTAACAATTTTTGCTTTAGATAATCAAATATTAAAAATAATTAAAACAGAAATAGTGAGTTTTATATTTACTTAGATGTCATTTCCAGCGTTTATTTTCTGTAGAGATCAAAGTGTCTGTTAGTATATTCCTTCTGCCTAAAGAACTTCCTTTTTCATTTCCTGAAGTGCAGGTCTGTTGGCAATGTTTTTTTGTTTTTGTTTTTTGTTTTTTGTTTTTTCAGTTTTCATTTGTTGAAAAGTGTTTTCCTTCTGTTTTGAAAGATACCATTTCTGCGTACAGAATTGAGTCTAGGTTGAGATCTTTTTTCTTGCAGCACTTTAGATGCCACTCCATCATCTTCTGACTTGCACAGTTTCTGATGAGAAGCCTCCTGGAGTTCTTGTCTTTCTGCCTCTATGGCATGTGTCATTTTTCCCTGTCTTTAAGGTCTTCTCTTTGGTTTTCACAAGTTTGAATACATAAGATGTAGAATCTTGTTTGGTTTCGATATTTAACCTCCTGGGTATTTGACAAATATTTGTTGAAAACTGTCCCATCCCTAGGTTCCATACAGGAGCTAAGGATATAGGGACAGGTACCTTGTGGTACCTGCCCGCAAGGATTTACACAGAAGTACAGGCAAGAGACAGTGGTGACTTCGACTAGGAAAGTGGAGCAGGGAAGCTGGCCATGGGAAGCTCATTTTACTCACCGCTTAACATTCTTCGTGACTGTCCGTGTCAAATGCTCTTCATTAGGACTTTAAAAATAAAATGTGTTTATACTATGGGATTGGTCAATCTCGGTGTAAACATGTTTCCAGGGATCACATGTAAATGTGCTGAGACTTCATCCTTGAATGCAAGACTTGTCAGAGAGGGGATTCCTAAGTCTTTTCTCCTTGACAGCTGGAAGAGAAGACTGAGAACAAGTCGGGAGAACTAGGCTCCTCCGCTGAGAGCAAGGGGGCCTTGAAGAAGGAGAGAGAGGTGCACCAGAAGCTCCTGGCCGACAGCCACAGCCTGGCCATGGACCTGCGCTGGCAGATCCATCACAGCGAGAAGAACTGGAACCGGGAGAAGGTGGAACTTCTCGACCGCCTGGACAGAGATCGGCAGGAGTGGGAGCGGCAGAAGAAAGAACTCCTGTGGAGGATAGAGCAGGTGAGGAGGCACCCCGGGCCCTGGAGCATAGGCACAGAGTGTAGACTACTCAATGGACCCAGAAAGCAAAAACATTAGGCTGCTTTGTGGTCCTTGCAGCATCAGGATGCATGGGCTTCCAAAGGAAGAGAGAGAAATACCAGAATCGCTTGTGTTGGAGACCTAGGCTCATGCCTCTCCATGACACAGATGTTTTCATTGCAAAGTTCATCGGTGACTCTCCTATGTGTACGTGTGGTAGTGGCAGAGCAGGGTGGGCGGGGGTTGTGGGAGGGGGGATAACTTTTTAAAGGAATTTAAAGACTCAACTGGAAAGAGGAGGTTATTTCAGGTCTTATTCAGTTGAAAACAAACTATAACTTTTAAGTTTGCCACTAAAGATGTGGTCACAGTGACTGCTCCAACTTGAATGGAATTGTTGTCATTAGAAAAGAAATTGCTGAATTCAGTTGGAGGTCAGGCTGTTCGCTGGTGAGTGTGCCCGCTGTGGATATTGCTGAGCTGTGATTAGATGGACCATAGTCAAGAGAGGTAGCTGGTGGCTCATCATCTTCAGCTAAACAAACAATTCAGAAACTCAGATGAATTTGGGGAGGATTGGGGTAGTCGTTTTCTGCCAATATAACCGTTCTCTGCATTGCGTCAGACTTAGAACAGTTTGCATAGTTGCAGTAGTTCCTGAGGGATACACAAATTAAATTGATGAAGATCTGGAATTCTTTCCTGGCTGGATTTTTACATAGTATACATTTTGTTTATTTCACCCAGTCACACACTTACAAATTTATGCGGTCTCAAGGAAATGTATTAATCACTAAGAAATTGAGCTCAGGAAGAATAATCTCATTATTCTATTTTAAATAACCATAGAGCCTTTTGAAAAATGTGCTCTATTATCCATAGCCATGGTGCCTGTGTTATGCAGGTACAATGACAAAGGCGAGCGTATGCATATGTTGGATAGGGAGGGAGGCAGAATGAACTAAATGGTAAAAAAGACCAAGAGCCTTTGGCTTGGAAACCACTGAGAAGAATAAAATCCCCGCAGGTGAGCTTTGATCACCACTGCATTCCAGCCTGGGCAACCGACCGAGACCCCATCTCCAAAAAACAAAAGAAGGAAAGTACACTGCAGATAGAAGAGCTGAAACTCTTCCCAGGTTTCACCACTTACACAAATGAGTCACCTTACTAATCTTTGATATTCCCCAAATCCTATCAAGAGGAGTGCTGGCCATTTCCTTTCTGGGTTGGAAATGCAGCACTTGTGAAGAGTCTCCTGTATTAAATCTCCTGTGTGTCTGTGCTCTACGGTTAGGTGGAAATCTTAGGGATAGAAGTGGCACTAATTTATTATATCCAACTTTAGTTGACCAGTGTCACAGTAACTCCAGGCAACTTGTCGCCAGGGAGCTTCATTCTTGGCCCATGCTCTAGGGCCACTCACTTTTTACGTCCCTCCTGTACCCCGGTGAGGCCATCATGATCCCTGCCATGGCCCCTTTAGGGTGCCCTTCGCCTGTTAGCCATGGTGGCTTGTTGGACTAGTCACAGGCTTCATTTGTTTGGGAAGTCACACCTTGGATATAAATTAAGCAAGTCTTTTAGGTTTTTATTTTTACTTTTGGGAATGAAGAATTTCTGCTAAAGGAAAAATTGGACACTTGTGGTGATACTCAACTTTTGAAAAGTCAGTGACTTAAAGATGAGCCACAGCCTCATTTTGAGACTATATTTTGGAAAGGTAGTAGTCGTCAGGAGCTGACCTCCAATTCCGAGTTGTCAGTATTGGAATAGTTCGGCCACACTGACCGCCTCAGAACCCAGTCCTCAAGGTGGACATCTTTGAGCATCGTGGATCTGAAACACGTGAGCTTCGGGCATGCATCTGTTCCTGAAATCTGTCTGATGGATCCCACAGTTTTTGTACAATGATGTCATTGCTGTTTTTAGAAGACGATTGGTTACAAATGAACTGACGCTTCAGACATGCAATTGTGGCTTTCAAAAATAAATCTGGCCTTTTCTCCAAAATAGTAAACATTTTTAAAGACGATTTCTTAAATCTCAGTGCCCCATCCTGATAATGAGGGAAAGCAATTATAGGCATTATCTCAACTTCCTGAGAAGAGGATATTGGTTCCAGTGTGTCTGGGCGTGTGTAGATTTGGTTCGTTTATCAGTCATTGGGTTGCTTGTTCATTTAACTTTTAGCTACATATTCCGTAGGTAAATGAGAAATGTAACTGAACATTCTTCACAATGTATCCTCTCAACATTTGACTGCTTGGTAAGCCATATAATATAACCTTGACTGTGATAACCTAATACAGATGGTGAAAGAAGTAACACTAAATCCATTTTCCACTTTCAGAACACATGCTTCATACTTGTCCAGTGTCATTAAATTCCTACATAATTTCTGCACCACATGAGGCATGTTATGTGATGTATGACTGTGGGAATGTGGCTAAGGTCATGTAACACATTTTATCTATCTTATCAGCCTCTCGTCTCAATCCCAGTTTGATTGTGGGGTGGGGGTAGGAGACTTTATGGAGTCACATTACATTTCTCCTTAGAATTGTTGAGTTCCCAGTTAACATGCAGATGATGTAAAACTTGCTGTTATATTTGCTGTACTGATGGAGCTAAAAAGTGTCATCCATAGGATTTGCTGTTATATTTGCTGTACTTACCAAGCTAAAAAGTGTCATCCATGCATTCTCCTTCCAGTAACTTTCTTAAATCAGCTGCCATTCTTTTAAAAAATCCGTTCTTTTAAAACCTATTTACAAAGTGGCCTTTTTTCTTTCTACCAGTCTGGGTACGGTGACACTCTTGAGGTCACCTTTATTGTTTTCTGTATTTAATTACAAATCTTTAACATTTTCGACTGGCATTAAAAGTTGTTTTACTCCAAGATTGCAAGTAGGTGCTGATGCTGGCTGAAATGACTCCTATAGGAACCCCTCCCGCTCTGAGGACCCATTCTATTACAACACCCCAGAGGCATCTTAGCAGCAGATACCTCCACCACAAGCCCTCCAGCTCGTTTTTAGGAAATCTGACACTTAGCAGCTTGAGTACAAGTCGCTCCTAGCTGCCTGCGTTTATTTTTGAAATCCCACTTCACTGAGTTAGAAGGTGCTTGTTCATAGCTCTCCTCTTTAGTCATTCTTTTCCCCCTTCACTCCACACCCTCGGCGCACATTTGCAGCTTCAGATGGGATTCTTGCATTTTAATTTCTTGCCCAAAATAGCTTAGAGATGATCATGTGTTGAAACTAAATTGTGCCGACATGCATTAAATGAACATATAAAAAGCCTTCCTTCTTCTTTTTTTTTTTTTTTTTTTAAGAAAGCAGTTAGCATCTTTAAGAAAACTGCAAAGAACTGTGTCATCATCAGGGAGGAGGAGGAGAGAGCAGAGGGGCAGAGCTAAAACGTAGAGTTTTTAGGATTTGCTGGGTCCTTCATTTGACTGTGAACTGCCTCAGATGCTAACATGTAAGCTTTGGCTGCATCAGACTCCATCTTTCTCAAAGATAAAGATAAATCTCTGTTCTGCCGCCTTAGAAATTACTAACAATGAGCCAGCGTCCTTTTGTCTTTCCTGCCTTCCATGGCTTTCTTCCTGACTATACAGAAAGCATGTTTGCATCCAACGTGTGGATGAATGCTCAGATTAGGACACAGAGATGCAGTTTGTAAGTGATGCTGAAAAAAAATGAATTGATCTGCATTCAAGGAGGTTTTAGAATTTCCTGGCACCGTCTCAGCGCTTGAGGACTTTAAATCATTGTTTGGCCACTCCTTCAGGTCAAATCCAAATGTCACTTTCACTTATTCAGAAGAGCAGTCAATCCTGTAGTGTGAGCTTGTCATCCAATAAAGGCTCCGTTAAAGACTCATAGGCGGAAATAGCTTCAGGTCTCAGTTGTGCTTTCTGTGGCTGTTTTAGAAAGGGAAGCAATGAGGAGGGATCAGGAGAATGGAGTGGAAGCTGGTGAGGGCTCCTCTGGGGAGGGAGGCCGTGCACCCTGCAAGCCATTTGCCTGCCTGCCTCAGCAGTTCCTTGTGATTTCGTATGGGCCCCCTTCCTGAGCCACCTCCACAAGATCTCCACCTAGTGCCCCAAAACGGCCCAGAAAGGCATAATGCCTTTACGTGGGCTGGGCCCCCACCAGCCAGCCTGACTCCTGTGAGCCCACGTGCACAACCCATCTTACAGATAAGGAAACTGAGCTCAGGAGAGTCGGGAACTTGCACCTGCCTGCGAACCAGCAAGCCACACACTGATGGTTCCGACTCAGGTCTTCTAACTCCAGGTGGCCTTGTGCTCGCCCACTGCCACTTCTTGAGTTCAAATGAGTCAGGCAAGAAGTATGACTATAATGTAAAGTGGCTTTTTAAAATTTTCTTCACTCAGTCATACCAGATCTTTACTTGCCTTTAAAGCTAAGTTTTATCATCTCAAAGTGTAAGTTATGTTTAACACCAAATGGTTAACAGCCGTTTGAGTTTGTAACATCAAATGGTTACAAACTCAAGTTTGCTCACTTGAGTTATTGATAGGACCTGTTCCGCATGCCCTGGGACTAGTTAGGAAAATCAGCTTCACACTTAGAAGTTTGCTGTCACTGACAGTATTCCACCGATGTGTCTTCAGTTCTGAAGGAAGTTCCAAAGAGCATTTTAAACATATTTAACAGCATCAGATTTAAAAATAGTAATAAATGTAGAATTTCCCATGAGCACAACTCTCAGAGTTATGTACAGTAACACTCTTGGTGTCAGAAAGAGTTCACCGTATTTGTGTGTGGTTAATGCAGATTTTCTGGGCCAGATAAAATTGTGGGTTTTGTAAAGCATCTGTAATGTTGTGTTACCTTTTGAAATTAAGATCAGAACGTTAAGAACATTTGCTTCTCACAATGTTTTTCAAACTGACCTATGAGTAATTCCAAATTGTGGAGAAACAATGGTCTGAGGGAGACCATCAGACAGAAAAGTGAGGCTAATTATTTTCATTTTTAAAATTCTCAAGTTGCAGAAAGAGAACAGTCCCCGGAGAGGTGGCAGTTTCCTCTGTGATCAAAAAGACGGCAACGTTCGCCCCTTTCCCCACCAGGGGAGCCACCGCGTGCCCCGTCCTGTGGCCATGTGGCCTTGTGCAGACGCCGACTCCATCCCGTTTGAAGACCAGCCGCTGTCCAAGCTGAAGGAGTCGGACAGGTGCTCGGCCAGTGAGAATCTCTACCTGGATGCCTTGTCCCTGGATGACGAGCCAGAGGAGCCACCAGCCCACAGGCCCGAGAGGGAGTTCAGGAATCGCCTCCCTGAGGTCAGCCAGGTTTTCTCCATCCTAGTTGACTACTATGGAATAAGGGAGCCGTCATGAAGCCTAAGAGGCATCCGCCAGATTCCTCTCCTGGCGGGCTCCAGCACTTTTGCATACTGCAACCTCCGAATTGAGTAAAAATGAAATCTTCACAACACCAAGGGTTTTGCTTGACCCTAAATTAGCATGCCCTGCTGTCAGTTTAACTTTGCCCCCTTGTTTCAGGTTTAGAAATACTGGACTGGAGTCCTATACAAAAGGCAGGTCTCACAAATGAGTGTGTCCCATAAAACACACAAGAGGAAGTAAGTAATTCTGGGACATGTATATGCTCAACTTTTTCTTTTTCTTTTTTCTTTTTTTCCTTTTTTTTTTTTTTTTTTTTTTTGATTTTTTGGAGCTGGAGGTCTCACTCTCTTGCCCAGGGTGGAATGTAGTGGCCGATAACGGCTCACTGCAGCCTTGACCTCCCAGGTTCAATTGATCCTTCCCCATCAGCCTCCTAAGTAGCTGGGACCACAGGCACGTGCTACCATGCCTGGCTAATTTTTTTTAATTTTATTTTTTAAGTAGAGACAGGGTCTCCCTGTGTTGCCCAAGCTGCTCTCGAACTCCTGGGCTCAAGTGATCTGTCTGCCTTGCCTTCCCCAAGTGCTGGGATTACAGGTGTGAGCCACCACACCCAGCCTCAACTTTTCTTGAAATAATAGTACAGTCTTCTGATTCTAGAAAACTAATATAACCAAAAAAATTCTGCGCAAAGGGAAACCATCCAACACTTAGAAACCTTACATAAATTAGATCACCAAATGAGTGAGCTAAGCTGTAGACATTTCCATGGCACAGTGGTAGTTATGTTTTTCTGGCTTTAATATTTTTAAAACCTTGTTTTAAAAGTTGATTCCAGGGCTGGGCGTGGTGGTTCATGCCTGTAATCCCAGCACTTTGGGAGGCTGAGGCAGGCGGATCACGAGATCATGAGATCGAGACCATCCTGGCTAACACAGTGAAACCCCGTCTCTACTAAAAATACTAAAAAATTAGCCGGGCGTGGTGGCGGGCGCCTGTAGTCCCAGCTACTTGGGAGGCTGAGGCAGGAGAATGACGTGAACCTGGGAGGCGGAGCTTGCAGTGAGCTGAGATCGCGCCACTGCACTCCAGCCTGGGCGACAGAGCGAGACTCCATCTCAAAAAAAAAAAAAAAAAAAGGTTGATTCTAGGAATCATTATCTGTGAAGCAGTTCAACAGTTGCTGCACGTATCATTTGGTCTCCTAAACACTTAAGACTTAGACGAGTTCATATCAAATAGTGTTGTTGAAATATGCGGAAATTATACTTCACTCACATCAGTAAGGTCAAATGCCTTATCCTCAGCAATGTGTATCAGGCTGACAGGACATTGCTGCAGTCCCACCCTGTCTGATCTATTGGCAATCTAGTACAGTCCGGTTAATAGCAGAGGTAACATGGGGTGGGGTCGGGAGCCTTTGGCTGGAACCTGCATGGCAGAGACGAGGGGCATGCTTCCTAAGGGGAAGTGATAAATACCCCTTGCTATTTACTGTCTGGAAAAATATGCTTCCATTAAAGTTAGTCAGAGGCTTGCTGCTTCACAACCACGTCAGCACAGGAGTAAGAGTTTTCTCAGTACACAACCTTGGGTTTCTGTTGTTCTCTACAAACACAGCATCATTCTTCTTAAAGGGGAAGGCACTGTACTTTGCCTCTGATTCTAAATGGGAATGTTTAAAATCAAGTGCCCGAGCCTAAGGATGTCACGTCAACTTCTACAGCAAGACTGGGACCAAGGGACACCAGTCTCCTAACGTTATTCTATCACCTTCCATCTTCCTCTCTAACATAGCACACACACACACACACTCTCTCTCTCAGTCTCACTCTCACACTTAGGTTGTCACAAAAGCTGGCTTTGAAATTCATGTAGTCGGTGAGGTCCTTTGAGGAAGCACAGAAGAGCTACTTCCTCCATGACAAAGTTTATAGCCAGTTGTTCTCACTCATGTGGGCTCCTCCCTGGACTGCAGAAGCTCCAACCCCTCCTCATGCTGTGCACTCGCTTTGATTATTATACTTCAAAGGCCTCAGGGCAGTAGCACTCCTAACCAGAGCTTGGCCTCAGTGTACATTTTAAATGGTGTTTTCCTGGGGGTTCAGAGCAAACAAATCACTTAAGTACAATCAGGGCTAGTTCTAGGCAACCAAAGTTAACCGATTCAGACGAAGTCATTTCTTCTTTATAGGAAGAAGAAAATCACAAGGGGAATCTTCAAAGGTAAGTAAGATTGATGAAAAAAATAGATTACTAGAATAAAAATGTCTTGGTCTTAAAATTCTGTTTTGTCAATGCAGTCTATTTTACCACTCTCTCCAAAATGACTTAAAATTATGCCACTTCTGAAGAAGTGGCTGCTTTACTATTCATTTCATAAATGTGGTATTTTTGATTATTAACAACAAAGAAGCTAGACATGCTGTGTCATGGGTGTATGAGTTTGATGGTAGACTTTCCAGTTGTAGTTGTGTTATGTATACAAAGGAATGCTTGTGTTTAGTGATTATTGAAAGGTCCATGGAAACCTCTCTTTTCTCTTTTAAAGTCTGGGAAATCTCTCTCTCGTATGCTGTGAGATGTTTTATATACTGTATTTAAAAGCTCCACTAAGAGAATTTATTAAAATATTTTGGGGCAGTAGTCCTATAGTGGTTGGTGTGGATGTTAGTTATACACCGGTTTTTTCCTCCCCAGTTTAATTTCCTCCAGTTTTACTTTTTCTTCATTCTCCAAATGAATACATACCATTTCTACTACATGAAATTTCTTCTCAGGCAATTCAACATTTCCAGATCGCCTCATCCTTGATTTTCCTCTGAACTTTGAGTCTGTGAATGACCGTCCCTTTCCCATTTGCTCTCCGCAGCACCTAGCCGTGCCTGTGGCACACTTCTGTCCTTCACACTGTCTTCTCTGGTCCTTCTTGGGTGGTACAGGACAGTACTTGAGAGCTCAGGCTCTACAGCCAAACTGCCTGGGTTGGTTGGTTGGTTGATTTATTTATTTATTTTTGAAATGGAGTCTCACTCTTTCTCCCAGGCTGGAGTACAGTGGCACAATCTTGGCTCACTGCAACCTCTGCCCCCTGGGTTCAAGCAATTCTGTATCAGCCTCCCAAGTAGCTGGGATTACAGGCAAACCCCACCACAACGGGCTAATGTTTGTATTTTAATAGAGACAGAGTTTCACCATGTTGGCCTGGCTGGTCTCGAATTCCTGACCTCAAGTGATCCACCCGCCTCAGCCTTCCAGAGTGCTGGGATTACAGGTGTGAGCCACTGCGCCCAGCCCAAACTGCCTGGGTTTAAATCGCTTTTGCCTCCTTGTGTAGGTTACTCAACTGCTTTGTGCCTCCGTTTCCTCATCTGTATACAGGAGGTATTTTGATTATCTTTTTTTTTTTTTTTTTTTTTTTTTGCAGCTTATTTATGTTAATACACATAATGAAAGCAGCACATGGCACAAAACAAGCAGTAAACAGAGTTTAGTCATTACACCCTCCCACCTTCCCCATTCACAGAAGCAGCCACATCAGTGTTTCCAGTTAGGCTTTGGAGCAACTGTACTCCACCACTCAAGCCATCAGCCTTTATGCTTTCAAAAGTAACACATGCTTGTTATAAAATGGAAATATTGGCTGAGGCAGGAAAATTGCTTGAACCTGGGAGGCAGAGGTTGCAGTGAACCGAGATTGTGCCACTGCACTCCAGCCTGGGCGACAGAGTGAGACTCTGTCTCAAAAAAAAAAAAATATATATATATATATATATATATATATATATATGTATATCTCGAAATGTCCAAAGTGAAAACTGGATGTGCCCTCCCCACCGGCCCCTTTTCCTCTGGCTTCCAGCTGCCTGGTATGTTTGCACCACTCTCTTCGATGCACCCGGAAGCGCCTACACGTGCTCCAGACGTGTCCTGCATTTTCTCATCATGGTTTTGTTTGCTTTGGCTACTGCTGAGGTTAATGGGCTTTGTTTGCTTTGGCTACTGCTGAGGTTAATGGGCTTTGTTTGCTTTGGCCACTGCTGAGGTTAATGCCTCTGCTCTCTCTTTTTATCATCTCTGTTCCACCATATCCATCCATGCCCCAGAGGCACTGAGTTCCCACCCAGGTAGGTGCCACTGATTTAACTCTGAGACAGTTCCTCTGTGGGCAAAAGTGGGAGTTAGATGAGCTATGTCTACAGAAATGTGGTAAGGACCAGGGTGTCAGCATGTGTTCGGCACTTACAGTCCCCAGCCAATAGTGTTCTGAAACTCATTATTAATTCAGCAACTCCTTGAATTGAGAAGAAGGAAATTCATACTTGCTGGAAAGCTCATGACCTTGGGACAAATCAACCCATCCCTACCATTGCCCTTCCTTTCCAGCCCTGGATCTAGCCAGCACCACTGGACAGTTGGTAGATTATTTCTAACAACAACAACAAGATAACAAGATGGAATGCCTAACGACGTCACTTTTAGCCTGCTGTTTTACCCCAGGGGGCTGACCACATGGGTGGGTGCCTTGCCTCCAGGGTGAAGCCAGCTGTGAGCAAAGCTGCCCAGAGCTTTGCTGGTTCTGTGTACCAGTGCACACAGTATGGGCACTTGCTCAGAGCAGATCCCAGTTCTGGCCTCATCATATTAATAGGTCCTGTGGAGGAGTGGTCCATACACTCAATCTGGGACCCCTTCCACAGGGCCTGCACTAGTCTAGATCCCTAGGTTTAAGCCTGTGCTTTGTGGGGTGAAAGGAGTATCAGTATGTCCTATAAGAATCTGGACAGAGTCTGCAGACACCTCACCTCCCCATCGCACCCCAGCTGGAGGGATTCCAGGCCAAAGAGGTTCTGTTGCCTGAGACACCGGGCACAGCCAGCCCCAGCCCCGTTCCTGACCACCACTTCTTTGCCCTGGTGGCAGTTGTGCCCGAGCACTCCGGCCACTTTCTGTCTTAGCCTGGAAGCATTGCTGGCCCCCCTGCAGCACCTGCCGGGTGTGTGAGAGGCACTCAGCGAACTCATGGCAGATTGAAAGTGCTGACACGTGGAAGAATCCACACCAAATCTGTGTCTGTCAGGTGGCAGCTTGCCAAAACCTGGCCATCGCCACGACTCACCGTCTTCACCCTTCAATTGTGGTTTGAGCGAGTCTCCTGAGAATTCTCACTGAGGCACTGAGGCACTGAGGCCTCAAGTGATTCTCCTGTCTTGTCCTCCCAAAGCGTTGGGATTGCAGGTGTGAGCCAGAGTTGGTTATATTAAATTCTGACCAATGCAAGGCTTCAGGAACAATTCCAGAGCCACACAGAGTCCAACAGCTGCCCGCAGGACAAGCCCGTGAGTGCAGCACATGAGCAGCTGCAAGTGTTCTCCTGGTGTGGGTGGAAGCTGGCGCCTTCACTGACACTTCCCACGCAGGGCAGGACATGGGTGCTGTGGTGTGGTGGGGGCTGACACCCTCTTTTCTGCTTTTCCCAGGGCAGTGTCCGTGTCCTCCATGTCTGAGTTCCAGCGCCTCATGGACATCTCCCCGTTCCTGCCTGAGAAGGGCCTGCCGTCCACCAGCAGCAAGGAGGACATCACCCCACCCCTGTCTCCAGACGACCTCAAGTACATTGAGGAGTTCAACAAGAGCTGGGACTACACACCCACCAGGGGCCACAATGGTGGGGGGCCAGACCTCTGGGCCGACAGGACCGAGGTGGGGCGGGCAGGGCACGAGGACAGCACAGAGCCCTTCCCCGACTCCTCCTGGTACCTAACCACAAGTGTCACCATGACCACGGACACCATGACCAGCCCAGAGCACTGCCAGAAGCAGCCGCTGCGGAGCCACGTCCTCACCGAGCAGTCGGGGGTGCGCGTGTTACACAGCCCGCCTGCCGTGCGCAGGGTCGACAGCATCACGGTGGCGGGTGGTGAGAGTCCCTTTCCCACAAGCAGAGCCAGAGGGAGCCTGGGAGACACCAAGGGGGGCCCTCCAGAACCCATGCTCAGCAGGTGGCCTTGCACCTCCCCCAGGCACTCCCGGGACTACGTGGAGGGGGCACGGCGCCCCCTCGACAGCCCTCTCTGTACCTCCCTGGGGTTTGCCTCCCCCCTGCACAGCCTGGAGATGTCCAAGAACTTGAGTGATGACATGAAGGAGGTGGCCTTCTCTGTCAGGAGTGCCATCTGCTCCGGCCCTGGTGAGCCACAAGTCAAGGACATGGCCTGCCAGACCAATGGGTCCCGGACGATGGGGACCCAGACTGTTCAGACCATCAGTGTGGGCTTGCAGACTGAAGCCCTGCGTGGCAGCGGTGTCACCAGCAGCCCCCACAAGTGTCTCACGCCAAAGGCTGGGGGCGGTGCTACACCCGTGTCGTCTCCTTCCCGAAGCCTTAGAAGCAGACAGGTGGCCCCCGCCATCGAGAAGGTGCAGGCCAAGTTTGAACGCACATGCTGCTCTCCCAAGTATGGTTCTCCCAAGCTGCAGAGGAAGCCCCTCCCCAAAGCTGACCAGCCAAATAACAGGACGTCACCGGGGATGGCCCAGAAAGGGTACAGTGAGTCAGCCTGGGCCCGCTCCACCACCACAAGGGAGAGCCCCGTGCACACCACCATCAACGATGGCCTCTCCAGCCTCTTCAATATCATCGACCACAGCCCCGTGGTGCAGGACCCCTTCCAGAAGGGGCTGCGGGCCGGCAGTCGGTCTCGCTCAGCAGAACCCCCACCAGAGCTGGCCCCAGGCCAGGAAACAGGCACCAGTTCCCGAGGAAGGTCACCTAGCCCCATTGGGGTGGGCTCAGAGATGTGCAGGGAGGAAGGGGGAGAGGGCACGCCAGTGAGGCAGGACTTATCTGCTCCCCCTGGCTACACACTCACTGAGAACGTGGCCCGGATCCTCAACAAGAAGCTGCTGGAGCATGCCTTAAAGGAGGAGAGGAGGCAGGCTGCCTACGGGCCCCCGGGTCTCCACAGTGACAGCCACTCGCTGGGGGACACAGCCGAGCCAGGGCCCATGGAGGTAATGAATGCCGAGTGCCCCACACCCTCCCCCACCAGCTCTTCCCTTTAGCTGTGGGGCAGGTTGGGATTTGGGATTGTGCTCTGTCATTTGATCTCAGGAATCGTCCGTGATTGGTTGTTGGGAGCTGGGGAGGTGTTGGGTTTATGGGAGACTAGAATAGGCAGAAAAAACCCTGAGCAACTTTTTTAAAGAAAATGTTCTTTTATTGTCCTCGGGAAATCATATAGTGCGTGATTTGATGTGGGTTCTGTCACCAGTCTAAGTGATTGATCCTTACTTATCAGGGTGTTTCATTTGGGGTCACAGTTTGCCTTCTTTCTGTGTGAATGTGTGCGCGTGTACAAACTATGGGATGGTTGTGTCAGGCTTTCTGCATACTGCGGACCTTCATGTGGGACAGCATGAGGTGAGCTGCAGAGGGTCTGGACAACGTGAGCACGAGCACATCTCATCAGGAGCCATAAGATCTCGATTCCTGGGATGGCTTCCTTACAAAACAGCCATGTGGCAGCTCACAAATCACTTACCCTCTTGGTGGTCACGAGCCCCTCAGCAGTAAAACCAAGTGAAACAAATAGACAAAATCAAAATCCTGCCCTAATACAATATGATTATCATTATTGCCCTTGATACTACTCACAAATCAATCCACTGTGAACTGGGTTCTGATACATATCCACACGTGGTGTTTTTGTACAAACAGGGAGCAAAATGAAAGCCTGATGATATGCTGGTGGGGATGGCTGTGGGGATGGCACTTTGTGGTTTGTGCAGCACAGAGAGGATGTGTCTGTCTGGCGAGTGATTCCAACTCGCCTGGAGTCTGGATGAACAGGCTCCACGCTGGGAACCCCTGGCCCCATGGGCACTCTCCCAGCCAGGCTGCTCCTGCAGATGGTAGGGGTCGGAGGAGGAGGATGGCAGCATGCTCCTGGGCTGCCCGCTGCGTTCTCGCCAGGACCCGAGCAGCCCTGGCTTCATGGGCAGGGAGGGGAAGAAGGTGTATTGCCTGTTTCACCTGGCCCACGTTTCCCACAAGAGGGTAAATGATGGCTGGCTTCCCAGTCCAGCCCACCAGTGAATGTTTAACTCAGAATGGAGGCTGGAAATCTGAATAGGTCAAACCTGTGGAACTGCCAATGACTTACAGAAATAGCAATTCCACATGGTTCACACCTAATATAAATATTGATACTACATGGCCTACATGTTCCAAGATCTGAGTCTTTGTGATAAAGTTGTTTGCATGCTCTGAGGACAAACTGCCGGTTGAATGTTCTCAGGTGACAAATGGTGTCTCCTTTGGGCTACTGTCACCCCATCCTTCTGGGGTCCTCAGGTAAGTACTGCTGCCGCGGAAGGGTCTGTTTATATGGGAATGCCCTGCCTTCTTAGGGCTCCCGAGGGCTCTAATTGCGGTTGACAGAGGCTATGTCACAAAGCATTAACCGCCTGTGCCTGTGTTGTCTATTTATATTACACACCAAATAGAAATTGTTTTTTAGGAACCAAAACATGCTTTGAATTACTGATAGTGAATCCTGCAAGCAAAAATAGGTTCATGATGGGATCCCAGCATCATGGCATGAAAATGGTTTTATCAGCACAAAGTGGCCCAGCCCCTTTTGTCCTCCGTAAAGTATTCGTTTAGATTTTCTCTTCACTTGGTGTGTTTGCCACCAAAAGAGATGACATGAAGGGAGCGCAGCTGCAGGGACTCAGAGCATCTCAATGCTACGGGCTCTTTTTTCCATTCCTGTTGGAATTTTGCTTGTTCTGGATTCCAGTGGGATTATTCCTGAATTGATGTAATATATTAGGGCCACTGCAACCCCTTCCCATTGCTCCATAAATGATGCAGTAGTTCTAGGTATGCATTCCCAAATCCCCGGGACTGCTTCTGATTCCAAGCCCACCCCGTGCCCTGCTGCGGAATCTCTCCCTGAATGTTCACTCAGGCATCCAGACCCAGGAGCGACGCAGGTGACAGGCAATCTCCCTTTCTCACTGCACTCTCCTCCCGGAAACCACTCAGGCCTCGTTTCCTCGCGACACCATGGCACTAGTTCAGCAGTGCAGAGAGAAGCCGTGAGGAGGAGTTCTAGTGTGAAGAGAAGGAACAATCTGAAAATGGAATGCTATTCCTCCCTCCCCTAAGTGGAAAATATGAGGGGAACTTTTTAGAGTAAGTGGCAGTAGCTTGGTTGTTGTGACCAAAACAAACGCAGCCGAATAAAGGTCTCTGTTTTAGATAACAGTCATGCAATGTCCATACCTCTCTTTGCCAGAATGCTGTTGGAAATGTTAAATGCTAAAGGGTGACTCGGCATAGAAACTAGAGGGAGGTCTGTGGCTCCTCCATGGAGTTTCCTTCTCTCTGGGCAGATGGCAGAGGGCAGGCCTGTCTGCCCAGCGCCCGGCCGCTTCCCCACACCTGCCTTGGAGTGAATGTGCTAGATCTGAGAGCCCGCAAGGCTCTCCTGGTGGCTGTCCCTGAGTGAGAGGGACGGCCCTCTACCTCTGGGCTTGCTGACTTGAAACCTTTATTGTTCTCCTGTTTAAAAAACACTTTCCAACCTTCTTGCTTTTCTCTTCTTTGTCTGTCTGTTCTGTCCAGAACCAAACTGTCTTACTAACTGCCCCCTGGGGACTCTAGCCCTGCCTGCCTCACGCTGTAAGTGCTTTCTTCCTTGTTTCCCCACTGTCTGGAGAGCTCGTGTTGTGTACCTCGCAGTTGGCACCCGACACTCATCGCCTGAGGGAGTTCTGCCCGGTGGCGGCACCCTCGCTCACCCCGGATTCCAGGAGGCTCACCTAAACCCAGCAACAGATTGACAGGGCCAGAGACTCATCTGCCCTGCGAGAGGGTTGACCACTCAGTGCAAAGAAGGGTTTTTAGGTTATAGAGATTCTGCTGAGATTTCTGTGCTTTTGTACATTTGCAGCCAATTTGCTTTCAGAGAACTGAGTAGATACTGGCCAGCAGGGGACATCCTAGGCACAGGGGTCTTGCCTGAGGGGGTCTTTGGGCCCAGCCACCCAGGACTGGTTACCAACATGTTGATTACATGCGTGCACTGGCATGTGCTGAAATGAGGTGGGACCCTAATGTGATAAGGCTTTTTTTTCATTTTTCAACAATCATACCGCAAGGAATGAACCCAAATATATCTTGACCTTCCAAGTGAGCACCGTAGGTGACAGAGCAGATGCTCAATAGATATTTGTTGAATGAATAAAGAACAAAGTCATCCCCACTCCAAGTATCTTGAGAACATCTCTCAGAATTGCTTTCAGAGTCTGAGTCAAAGCACATGAGAAAAGATATACTTTGTTTGTGATCAAGGATATAGTCATCCACTCACCTCATCCACTGGCCTTAACTCGCAGTGTTAAGTACAGAAGTATCTGTTGTCAAATACAACAGACGTGTCCCCGTGAAAAAAATGACAAGGAACACGGGGAGGGCCATTTCCCAGAAACGTGCTACAGGGGCGGCATCCCAGGACGAGATGCCATGCAGCGACAACAGTGGCTTCTTAGGAAAGCACAGCATCATTTGCTTGTACACGCTGGCGTGTTTAAGAAAAGGTTCATTCCCTTGAATGCAGACTCACAACATTACTTCCTTCACAAGCAGAGGCTGGCAAAGAGCGGGTACTGAATGGTCTCATACAAAGCCTGCTCTTTAGCACCAGCCAGGAGGAACGGGATACAGTGGTGTCAGATAAACCTATGACAGCAGCTTCACCAACACACAACACACAGAACAGATATACAATACACAACACACACACTACTCTTACAAGAAGGGGAGCACAGACACAAAACATACAGATTTCCCAAACTATGTGTCTCAGCCAAGCACTGTGGGCTGTGGTGAGATGGGGACACAGGAGCACCTTGAGTTAGTCTGCATCTTGGTGGCTGGTGGAGTTTTAACTGGAGAGGTGTTTCTGGTTGTCACAGTACTGTTAGCACAATGCTTTGGGAAGAGAGCCTTCTCCCTGTGGCTGTGTGAAGTGCCAGCCACAAAAGCAGCAGGGAGCATGAAGCATAGTCTCCAGGGCCACTGTTCCTTGTCTGCTGACCCCAGAGGGAGGCAGGGAAACCACTCGCCCCACTGCTCTTCTGGAAGCCTGTGGCTCCCACGCTCTCCTCGGGCCATGCTGTCTCTGCCACATTCCATCTTCTCCCGAGTGACACTGCCCATTCCGTGCAGTCATCTGTCCTTCCCCCACTGCTGCTCCCCTGCACCACTGGCTGGGCTGTCCTCATCCTGGTCTTTTCAGTTGCTTGTCACATCTTTTTACATTCTCCAACTCCCTTTCTTTGAGAGTCCTTGTTCTCTGTCATCCTTCCTGTGCCTTCCATTCAGTTCACCTCAGCGTCCAGTGTCTGAGTGTCATTCCAGCCAGCGCGCTCCACGCTGGGCAGCTCAGTTTCCTCATGCCACAGCGTTTTACGTTTCTGTATATCAGCAAATTCCAAGTTTGGGTGTCCTGGTTTTGTAACATGTAGAGTAAGGACAAGGAACTCAACATTCTTTAAAAACAAAGTAGCTTGAGAATAAGGATTCTAGGTGGTTTGCACATGGTTGAATGTGTCTTGCGTCACCTGTTCTCAGAACATTAGGATGCCTGAAACAAAACCACCAGTACATTCTGATTCTACCTTTTTAAAATGCTGCTGTAATTGAAGAGTCATTAAAGAAAACTAGACCCAAATTAAAATTTCTCCCTGCAGCATTTTTGCCATGTTGTGGGAGTTTGTTTAATCTACTGCCAGTCAATTTCAAATAAACAGTAGCAGAGTTCGTTTAAGACGACTGCCGTTGCTAACACAGCTGAATGAAATCAGAGGTCTCTTTGTGGGCTCCCAGTAGATCCAGGCCCTATAGGACCAGTTCATTTGTCCACTGTAGCTAAATAGATCATTCTAAAGGACCAAAGGAAGAGATCTACCAGATGGGAATATGCTGAAGTGGCCTGTGGAGACCGCTGCCACAGTCACTCTGCCATGTCTTCTGTATACCCCAGCCCAATTCTAAAGGAGCTTTGCAAGCTGACTCATCTCACAATATTGCTGTGTTTAATCATAATTGGTCTCTTCCCATTCATGTCACTGACCATGTCACATGTGTTGAATTCTTTATTATTTTAAGTTATTCTGCATGAGCATAGAACGTCGTTAATATTCACGAGTTGCCTGTGGTGTGTACTTCATCTCACTTGAGTCTGTTGAGAAGTGTGTTTGGGGGAATCATCCACTGGTGACACTGCCGGTCTGAGTAACCCTGTCTCCCTTTCTCGGCTCTGAAGGAACTACCTTGTTCTGCACTAGCTCCATCCCTAGAGCCCTGCTTCTCCAGGCCCGAGAGACCAGCAAACCGTCGCCCTCCGTCCCGGTGGGCCCCACATTCCCCCACTGCCTCACAGCCTCAGTCACCCGGAGACCCGACGTCCTTGGAGGAGCATGGTGGCGAGGAGCCGCCCGAGGAGCAGCCACACCATGATGCAAGCTTGCATGGATTATCACAGTATAATTCACTGTAATTTGCATAACCACACCATCGCCATGAACAAAACTCTGCCCAAAAGGAGAGATCTAGTTTTCTCAAGGTCAAAGAATGTTTTTTAAAAACACACAGCTGCTGAATGTTCAACCTGTGAAACTGAGATGTTTCTAGAATGAAACAGTAAATGTGCCTGTAATAATTTTTTTCATAGCTCAGAAAACTATTTTTGTCTCCATCTTTTTTATACACAGTATATTAAATGAAAAGATAAATAAGGTATAAATAGATTTAAAAAATAAAAGTGTTAAAAAATGTACATTTTAAGAGATTTTGAACACCCTGCTATCAATACCTGACTGCCTCTCTGTTAAATTTGCCCTGTTACATTTTGGTTCAGTTTATTTCCATGTTGAATTAGAGTGGATTAAGTTAATTTTATTTTGTCAGTGTTACTGTTTTTTAAGACTTTTTTAATGCTTCAGACTGTCTGATTCAGTGAACTTTTTGTAGTGAAAAAGCCATGAAGCCAGTAGACAAGACAGATATTCTGTATACTGGAGGGGATACAGGACGTTTTTGAAAAGGTACAAAGCCCTCAGTGGGCTTAGAAACTTCACTGTATGATCCTTGTATTATGCTACTTGGCTTGCACGTCTTCGGGTGCATGTATATACCGCTACTGTGTCCTCGCCATCACCTAAATGTGACTCAGTCTGTTCCACTGTAATATGTTGTGAATTTCCTTGTACTGTACTTTTATTGTTGGTCTTCTTGCATCGATGATCCAACAGCAACATTTTTAAATTATTGTGAAAAGATTAACTGGCAGTGTACAGAGTTTACTGCAAGTTTTCTTAAGGGAAAACACGACAAAAGGCACGAGGATACCAATTGGAAACACGTGCTGGTGCCTCTGAGTCTGTATGAGACCGTGATGAAGTAGAAATAAAGCCCTTCCGAGATGGCAGCGTGTCTCGGGCTCTCATTTCACACACCCTCCATCTCTTCCTAAGGACTCAGATGGAAAGTTTTCCGTGGCTACAGGAATGAGGGAGAGAGATCATGTAAAGAGACAACAGCTGCTGATCTATCTTGCTGGGAATGCACGCTTTGGGTGCGTGATCATGTTGCAGTTTTGCTGTTCTCTGTAAGAGAGTCCTAGGATGGAGAGACAGCTTTAGTGTTGAAAAGCCAAAACTGTGGTGTGGGCAGGGATGTGAGGAAACTGGTTACCTACAAGTCCGAGTGTGCCCGGCCTCTCTCCTGGCTCTGTTCATTAGGAGAGAGGGAGTGGCCAGTAACGCCAGAAGAGGCCTTTCCACCTCTGATCCTGAGATGTCGCCCGCCTCTCAGTGTTTGGTGGAGTAGAAGCCTACAAAGAAGTGATGCTACTGAAGAGCCCAAAAAGAATGACTTCAGGCTGAAGCTTCTGGCTTTAATATTTCATTGAACGCTTCATTAACCCAACAATTTTCTTCTTATCTAGATGAGCTAATGTAATAGGCTATCCTAGCATTACCACAGCTTCATCCTTAAACTGAAATATTTTCAAAAAATAAAAACCAATAGAGCAGCATTCTTCATAATAGCCAAAAGGTGGAAACACTTCAGTTGTCCATTGACAGATGGATGGATCAACAAAATGTGGTATATGCATATAAAGGGATACTATTCAGTCCTAAAAAAAGTAAATTCTGACATATTACAACATGGATGAACCCTGAGGACATTATCCTAAGTGAAATAAGCCGATCACAAAATGGCAATTATTGTATGGTTCCATGTATCTTGTTTATATATCAAGAGTAGTCATATTCAAAGAGAGAAAGTAAAACGGTGGTTACAAGGTTTGAGGAGGGAATGGGGAATGGTGTGTAATGGGTACGCAGTTTCAGTTTGGGGTGATGAAAAAGTCCTGGAAATGGGCAGTGGTGATGGTGCACAGTGAATATACTTGATGCCACTGAGTTGTACACTTAAAAATGGTTAAAATGATAAGGCATATAGATTTTACCACAACAAAAACTTTTTTTTTTTTGAGACGGAGTCTCGCTCTGTTACCCAGGCTGGAGTGCAGTGCCATGATCTCAGCTCACTGCAAGCTCACACCATTCTCCTGCCTCAGCCTCCCGAGTAGCTGGGACTATCGGCACCCGCCACCATGCCTGGCTAATTTTTTGTATTTTTAGTAGAGACGGAGTTTCACCATGTCAGCTGGTTGGTCTTGATCTCCTGACCTCGTGATCCGCCCGCTTTGGCCTCCCAAAGTGCTGGGATTACAGGCATGAGCCACCGCACCTGGCCTAAAAACTTTTTTTTGAGATGGAGTTTCGCTCTTGTTGCCCCTACTGGAGTGCAATGGCATGATCTCAGCTCACCACAACCTCCGCCTCCCGGGTTCAAGAGATTCTCCTGCCTCAGCCTCCCGAGTAGCTGGGATTATAGGCACCCGCCACCAAGCCCAGCTAATTTTGTATTTTTAGTAGAGAGGGGGTTTCTCCATGTTGGTCAGGCTGGTCTCAAACTCCCGACCTCAGAGGATCCGTCCGCCTTGGCCTCCCAAAGTGCTGGGATTACAGGCATGAGCCATTGTGCCTGTAAAAACTTCCAGTAAATGCAAAATATAAATGTTTCACTTTACCACTCTAGCTATACCTGCAAACAATCAGTAAATATTCTTTGCCTATTCTGTGCAGATTGCAACTGCCGAGAGGTACATTGGTAGTCCTTCAATTGGAAGCAACCAGCCACCAACAAGACGGGAAGTTGTGGCTCTCATGTCTGAGAGCCTCAAACCATGCTATCAGGACTTTGCTCGGTCTCCACACTCTGTGTGGCTTTATTCTCGGACAAGCATCACAAAAATTGGCAACGATGGTCCCCAGCTGCTCCTATTAGTTTAGCAACTCCTAGAGAAAGGGGATCTCTTACCAGGAGCTGCAGTGAAAGCCCAGCACCGATGATTCTCATTTGGTAGGGCTTAAGTCTCATGTCTGGCTCTGAGCCAATCGTGGTGACAGGAAGACCCAGCAAAGGAAAATCAGGGTGCAATTACAATAGAGGGTGTCAGGAAGGCAGTGAAGGCTATATACCACTGTGGGACACCCCAAAATTGCAAGGAAAAAGCTCTGACCACCATAGAACTTGCCAGTTGGCTGAAAGGTAAAATTCCCAGGCACAAAAACAATAAAATGCAAAAATGGTGTGGTAGAAATTCTAAGTACAGTAGGGCTTGAGTTGGGCTTGGTAGCACGGGAAGCATTTCAATGTGCAGGAAGAGAAGCAAGTGGGAGATGGGAGGAGCAGAGGTGTGACGGGCAGGAACAGACACAGGTCGCATTGGGCAGTGATGCACGAACCAGGCTAGGGGCAGAACTTTCATCAGAAAAGCCACATCTGGCAGCACCAGTGCCTTGAAAGCCATCTGGGAACTTCTCCTAGCATTCATTTTCTAAAAGTCGGGCATGTGTATTCTTAAGTCTAGGGTGGAAGCACTCCAACTGTTAAAGGCCAGGCAAGACAGTAGGATGAAATCATTTTCCACACCACCGTCCAGATGAATGCCAAGGCTGCTATGTGGGTCACACATGGCTGTGAAAGGGGAGCAGCTGCCTGAAGGGAATGGCTCCATGAGCTGCCATGAATGTGCCAGTTGCCTTTATGCCCTAAAGAAATCAGCAAAAGATTCCTCAAACATAGCCACAGACCTCACACGCCAGGCGTGCCCTGCCCCCTGGGTAACAGCCAGCACCAGCAGCCCAGAGACATTTCTGGTCCAACTGCAGCCAAATTGGGCAATAGTGGCCACATTTCACCCTCTCTTTTAATCAGGAGGTAACATGTTAGCATTTTCTGTATTATGCATCTATGTTTTATATCTGTGTACATCATAATTCTATTTCTTAAACACATTTGCTTCAACCTTTTTTTCCTGTAGAATGGCTTGCAATTCTTATGTAATACGTTTGTTTCACCCTTTTTGTTCCTGTACAATGAATGTAAGGTTTACAAACTCCTTATTTTAAAAATTTAATTTAGTTTTAATTGTATATGTTTAAGGTGTACATGATGTTTTGATATGCATATACAAAGTAAAATGACTAGGCAATTAACATATTAACATCTCACATAGTTATGGCAAGAGCACCTAAAATTTACTCTTTTAGCAAAAATCCCAAATACAATACAGTATTATTAGCTATAGTCCTTATGTTGTACGTTAGATCTCCGCATTTTATTAAGCATGATAGAGTTATGCTTATGTATTTTGTTTAAAAAGCAACTAATGGCCAGGCGCGGTGGCTCAAGCCTGTAATCCCAGCACTTTGGGAGGCCGAGATGGGCGGATCACGAGGTTAGGAGATCAAGACCATCCTGGCTATCACAGTGAAACCCCGTCTCTACTAAAAAATAAAAAAAACTAGCCGGGCGAGGTGGCGGGCGCCTGTGGTCCCAGCTACTCAGGAGGCTGAGGCAGGAGAATGGTGTAAACCCGGGAGGTGGAGCTTGCAGTGAGCTGAGATCCGGCCACTGCACTCCAGCCTGGGCGACAGAGCGAGACTCCGTCTCAAAAATAAATAAATAAAAAGCAACTAAGAAGTACAACTATCATTTTCTATTTTCCAGTTCACGGTTTTAAACTGAGGTAAAATACCCATAATATTTATCATTCTTGCCATTTCAAAGTGTATAATTCAGTGGGATTTAGTACATTCACAATGTTGTATAATCACTACCACTATCTCCTTACAGAATATTGTCATCACCTGAAAGGAAACCCCATATGCATTAAGCAGTCAGTGCACCCAGCCCCTGGCACCCACTCATCTAATTCTGTCTCCATGGATTTGCCTATTTGGGATAGTTCATATAAGTGGAATCATGTACCACGCAGCCTTTTGTGTCTGGCTTCTTTCAGTTAGCATAAAGTTATCAGGGTTCATCTGACACAGGATTTTCTCAGCCACTTTGCCAACCAGGGACCTCCATGGCCAGAGATGCCCTGCTGCTGCCCAGGCCTCATTCAGCCTGGGCCTGCCACTGGAGGTGCCCCACCCACTCAGCCTGCCTGTGTTATAGCTTATACCCATGTTTGGCAGTTCCTGAACTCTTGTCCCATGTCCAAGAAGAATAAAGATATACTGACAATTTGAAGGGGAGGAGGGTGGATTAGAATTTTATTGAGTGATGGAATAGCTCTCAGCAGAGAGGGGACATGGGGGTGGTCCCCCACCTCCATGGTTAGGTGATTTCTCTCTCAGTGTAGCTGGGTCTGGGACTTTTATGGGCTCAGAATAGGGAATGTGTGCTGACTGGTTTGTGAGTATGCAAAAAATGTCAAAACAAAGGCAGTGCTCAAAGGTGGGCATGACAGTGTAGAAAACCAATTAGGAAAGGGTAGGTATATGTAAAATAGGTGAAAGGTGGGGATCAATCAAAGGAAAGCACACCAAATGGGAAGACAGGTTCTCAATCCGGTTCATGGATTTGACTTTTAGCTTGGCTTTCAGGCTTTAACTGTCTTAGATTTGGAGGTGGGATTTCACCAGGGACCTGCCCTATCTGCCTGGGCATGTGCCTGCCTCCTGCCACTATCACATCCATGTTGTAACATGTATCATTCTTTCCATAAGGCTGGATAAAATTCCACTTTTATTTATCCATTCATTGGTGATGGTATGTGTCTATTTTTAAAACAAAACCTTTGATTACCTTATTTTCTTTACTTATTTTTAGAGATAGTCTCACTCTGTCACCCAGGCTGGAGTCCAGTGGCACCATCACAGCTCTCAGGCTCAAGCGACACACTGCCACAACAAACTAACTTAAAAAAAAAATGTATTCTGTGGGCAGGGGTGGTAGGGGAGGAGGGTTGTTTCAGCAGGGGGAGGGTGTCTCACTATGTTGCCCAGGCTGGTCTCCTACCTTGGCCTCCCAAAGCAATGGGATTACAGGTGTGACCCATTG